CTATCGTTCCTGGTGTTTCTCGAATTTGTCGGAAGCCTTGCTCTATTCTATTTCGTAGTATTTCAGCATTTTCAATCGATGCTGCGTGTACAATAGATTTTCAATGTCCCCACAAAATGAAAATCTAATGGATTCAAATCCGGAGAACGAGCAGGCCATGCAAATAGGACCTCCACGATCAATCCATTTATTAGCAAAGTGTTGTTTCAAAAATTGCCTGGCCACTCGGCTAAAATGCGGCGGAGCTCCATCATGCATAAACCGCATACGAAGTCTAATATCGACTGGAACTTCCTCTAATGTTTCGTGTAAACGCGTGCTCAAAAAATCAACGTATTTTGTGCCTGTTAGTTTCCCATCGAGGAAAAAAGGTCCAATTAAAAATTTGTCAATTATTCCTGCCCATACGTTTAAACTAAACTGGTGTTGATGTCTTGAATGCACAATGACATGTGGGTTTTCTTCGTCCCAGTTATGATTATTATGAAAATTGAATATACCATCCCTGGTAAAACTAACTTACTAGAGTTTGCTCTGTGTAATAAAATTCATTATATCTCATAAACGAAGACAGATAGGACATATATTTATATGACTTTTTTCCATTATTTTTGGGCGTACAAATGGGTCCCACAAGTTACGAAACACCCTGTATATAATATATGTATACTAGATAAATATTTGAAAACGCAACGAAGTTTTGAATTTATGAAAATGTATCACGTAGTAGCACTCTTTAACAGTAGAATTGGCTGTCTGAAAAGATTTTACGATTTTAATCCGTTTTAAGGGATTGTTGACTGTTCTAGTGCCAAAGGAAATTACCAGAAATCACTAGAGAATCATTCCAGTGAATTTCACAATCGTGATTGCTGTTTCTACTTTACAACACTCTACTGTTCTGAATATATATATACTTGGAGATCACACAATTTCGAAGAGAAACCCCTGGAATTCTACAAACCCTATTTCAAACGCTCTGTCCCATCTATTATACCGATTCGAAGATTACTTCATCGACCAGTGGAGCTAGATCACGAATCAGGAAACGAGGTCAGAGCACGGGGAGTATCTCTAAATCTCCGTCATTTATCTTCTTATACCGGAAGTCAATAATTTCTGCTCACCTGCCACAATAAACAAGCATTGTAATTAAACGTCTCCGAGTAGCTAAAGTTAAAGATTGACCAATTGAAAATGTACCTAGTCTTTCTAAGCTACATCAAATTGTGTTTAATGTGAAGGAGAGGAATCAGTTTTGAAATATTTGTCGATTCCATGAAGATTGACTAAACCAAAAAAAGGAAAAAGGAAACTAAATTGAATTGAGTTTAGTTCGAAAACTTTCCTTGGTGATAATTGGTGAAGTGAAAAGTAAAACTAGTGTAAATCTAATCAAAGATTGTCTTTCATAAGGTAGTTAGAAGAAAAAGCCTGCTAGCCTAGATATTAATATTATTATTAGATAATAATATTAGTATTATTAGATAATATTATTACTAGATGATAATATTAATATTAATGTATAAGAAGTAATAGACGTATAACATAAAATCATCGTCGAGTCAAAATGAAATTAAATCATGGTACAGAGAGAATAAAGTATCTTCTCATGTAAAATTCATTTTTCCTGCGATAAAGAAACAGACCTAGCCTATTAGATATTAACATTAATGTTAGAAAAAAAGTATAAAAAGAAATAAAAAAAATATACAAGTACAAACATAAGAAATATATAAAAAAATGCCCATTTTTCTTAAAATAAAAAAAAACTTAATCTGGACGTTAATATTAATATTAAGTACTTATAAAAGTATAAAGTGTAAGAAATAACAGACACACGATGTCAAAATCAAAATTAAAAGTCATAGTACACACAGAAAATAAATAAAATGTGTAAAAAAAAAAAAAAAAAAGAAACAAAGAAAGAAGAAAAAAATACCCATTTTTGTCGAAACGATCGAACCTAACCTAAAAGACCTAGCCTGTACATTAATGTTTATAGGATTGCAGCGTATAGGAATAATAAGAGGCGTTAATTCGGGTTCGAGGTGAGAGAGACGGCGAAGCGTGTCATCGGTCTCGAGCGTGACAGTCGCGAGGAAGCTGATGCACGGCGAGGCCGAGACGAAAGTTGGTCCCGTTCTATTATTAGCCGAGTTCCAGCCAAGTGCAACATCGCGATCGGGGGGATAGGAAGAACGCATATGGCCAGCAACGAGCGAAACGGAGCAGAGCAGGAAGGAGCGGAGCGGAGCGAGGCGGAGAGAGCCACCGCCTCTCGTCTCCTTGCTCGTCGATCTGCCTGCCTGGCTGCTGTGCGTTAGCCTCTCCGCGTTACTAGATCTCCTCTGTTTAGTTACTTTTTCTTTCTCTTTTCTTTTTCCCTCCACGCCTCGGACCTCGATACGGCGGGAGCCGCCGCAGATCCGATGAACTGATTGCGTCGAGATTTCAGATTTATCGACCGAGTATGTATTTTCAGGATGATGGGATATTTAGATTAGCGAGGAAAGTCTGGAACGAAATTATGTATGCCTCGAGGCTGGTCGGGCCTAGTGACTTTTTTTTTCCCCCCGGGGATTCTTCCAGACGTCGGCGATTTGGGGAATTACTGACGACAAGACCATTAACAGCTCGTTTCATTTTGCAGATTTCGTACGTTTTAAGCATCACGAGTCAACGTGTAAAAGAACTTTCGGAGATTTTGAGAATTTTGAAAGTATTCAGGATTAATTGTCGTTTGAGATGGATTTTAAAAGTGTCTTCGTATTCGAAGTGCAACAACTGAATTGGCGAAGAAAGAATTTAAGAATCAAGTACACGTCTTTAGAAATAAAACTAAATGGCTTTGGATCGGGGATCCAAGAATTTTTCGAAAATCTACTCAGCGGCTCTTTTCTTCAAAATTTCAGAAATATTAGCAATGTTAATTAATAATATTAATAATGCTGTGAACAATGGCCAGAATATTTCCTTTCGACGAAGAAAGCGCGTAAAAGGAAGCATTCGGAGGGTTCTTCGAAACTGCAAGAATTTTAAGAATTTCAAGTGTCGTAAATGATATACAGAAGGTAATTAGCAATCCATAACGAGGTTGCAATTAAGAGAAAGGCGTTCTCCGCTGTAATATGCTCGCGGTAGATTTTTGGGGAAAGTTGGGTTTAAAAGCTGTAACGTTTTACTTTCCTGCAAATTGGTCCATCGATAACATTTTACGATGGAAAAATACGGTTTGCTTTCTTTGCGAATCGTGTTTGTATTTTATGCCCGACGCAGCTGCAAATCCTGAAAGAATAACTTCCTCCGCGTTGGCCGCTTGGCACCGAGGGCTCTGGATCATTACCGAGCTGCAACTTTTTCGTACGTAGACACGGAAACCGCGTTAATTACCTCAAGCGTGGAAAGTCGAGCCACGCTAATTACAACAAAAATATAACAGTTGGTATATCGGTGGCTGGCGAGAAGTTTGTTGCATTGTAAGAAATATGTGTTAACGTGCCAAAGGGATTTATTTAACAAAAATGTCACGCTATCGCGCGAGATAATTAGAAGCAAAAATTCATTATATCACCGTCGTGATATAAAATGTTCATTGGTATGTTTATTGGAGATTTACAACGATCAAGATCGAAATTAAGCAATAAAACAGTCTCACAGTGGTTCTCACAGTGAAAAATTATAAAACAATTGCAAAAGAGTATTTACTTTCTACTATTTATTATCAAACTTCAGAAAAGAAGCTAATAATAAATACGTAGATGACAAGTAAGACGAATGGTATTTTAAATTTTTAATTTTACAATACGAGAGAGAGAGAGAGAGAGAGAGAGAGAGAGAGAGAGAGAGAGAGAGAGAGAGAGAGAGAGAGGTCGATATTAGAGGAAAAATCCGCGACTTTCGCCAGGGGGGAACTTTCTCCTTGAATCACCCTATAGAGTTTCAGCGCGCGCGAAGTGCAAAAAACCGCGCGCTGGTACAAGTTCATCGGACTTAGTCGATTCACGTCAGCCTCGCGGCGAATTGGAAACCATCAGGGGCTGCTCGTTTGTTTATACGACATTGTTATGCCTCGGTCGGAGTAAAAGCACGAGCTCTCTGCCATGCCAGACACACGATATATATATTCGCAATAAACGAAATTCCCCGCGCTGCACGTGCGAAATCGCGCTCGCCTGTATGCGATAAACTGCCTGACAGGCAGAGTCGATTCTCTATTCTCGCTTTCTTTCGAGCGACAGTCGAAACGAAACTATTTTCTGATGATAATGATATTAGTAACAAAGTTCCGATGCCTCGGGTTAGGTTAGAATACGTCTAGGGATATTTTTTTTTTTTTTTTTTTGAGAAAATTGTACAAATTGCAAGCAAACGATAAAAATATTTAGTTACACTTGATAATGATACTAAAAATACTCAGTCACGCTCGAGGGACTAACACTTCCGTTTTGGTATTTTGAGAATTTTTAAAAAACTCGAGGTTAATTTTATAACCTCACAAGCGAGTTTGATAAAACTAGGGACTGTAATTATCCAGGGAACCCTAGAAATTAAACGTGATTGAATCGTGAGGAAAGTTGAATTGATTTTTTTTTTTTTTTAATCGAGCGAAGAATTGAACGATATATCTCAATGTTGAAATAAAGAAATTTTCAGAAAACTGGTCAATTTGGCTTCCAAGTGATTCTTTCATCCACGAGGTGGCGAATTCTCAATCTTCTCGAAAGACCGAAAGTTAAAGAACGAATTAAAAATGAACAAATTATTATACACATGCGACGGGCTGAGAGTCACTGCCTCCGATTACTTAATCTTCCAATCTCGAACAGAATCTTACAAAACTGTTGCCCACTTTCAACTCTCTGCTTGCCCAATTCCGCGGGGTCACACACAAGATGAAATTAATACAACGTTTCCCAACTTTTGAGACAGCCTGTTTTGTTTTTCTTTTTTTTAATCTCTTGTTTCTTCACTTTCGTTTCAGGGACAAGCACGGATCTGGTGCCCCAGCTGCTGGGGATGTTCGACGAGCTAGCTCGCCGGGGCAATGGCTACACCGAGCACGTGGTACTTCCGTCTGCCTGCAACATACCGGCGGTGCTGCAAAAACGTTTGAGCCTGGTGTCCCATCGGGGCTCCATATTCGGCCAGTTCCACCCCGAGTTGTCCAAATCGCAGCCGGATGACGCCATGGCCGAGCACCCGACTTTGGAGAACACGGTGGACATAGTGGTGGCCGACGGGAAGGAGAACGACGCCGGAGAAACGGCGGAGAACGGTCAACAGGGGCACAGAAACGAGTGTACGATAGAGGGGAAGCCGTACAGACGCGAAAGCAACGGTCTCACGCCGTTCAGGTACAACAGACGATGCAGAAACGCTGGGAGGCCGCTGTCTGGAAGCTCGGTCGCGTCCTCTGGAAGTTCGAGCACCTCATCCAGCGGGTGCAGCAATCAGGGGAACCCGTGCACCATTAATCCTTATTTGGCATCGGTCGAGTCGCTGGCGGACACTTGCGCCAGCTCGCAAGGTGAGGGTTCAGTGCGGTTTGGTGAGATTGGCAGAAGTTGGAGACGCGTAAAGGTGGATTGATGGCGTTGAATGATTTATTTGAAAGAATGGTCGTTTAGATCAGTTCAGGGATTTCCAGAAGAATTTTATAGGAATGATTAAAAAAAGGATAAGATTAAAAAAGATAAGAGAGATGGTTGATTTGAAATTTGATGGTTCAGAGAGGTTTAATGAGGTTGGCAGAAGTAGGGGAAGCATAAAAGTGGATTGATGGTGTTGAATGATTTATTTGGAAGAGTTGTTGAATGGTCTTTTAGACTAGTTCAGGGATTTACAGAAGAATTTTGTAGGAATGATTTTAGTAAGATTAAAAAAGATAAGAGAGATGATTGATTTGAAATTTGATCGTTTAAAGAGGTTTAATGAGATAAAAGTAGGAGAAGCATAGAAGTGGATTGATTTATTTAGAAGAATCGTAGAAAAATCGTAGTTTTTTCAGGAAATTTTCTAGGATCAGAATTTTGTAGAAATGATTTTAGTAAGATTAAAAAAGATAAGAGAGATGATTGATTTGAAATTTGATGGTTTAAAGAGGTTTAATGAGGTTGGCAGAAGTAGGAGAAACATAGAAGTGGATTGATGGTGTTGAATGATTTATTTGAAAGAATCATAGAATGGTTTTTTAGGGTCAGAATTTTGTAGGAATGATTTTAGTAAGATTAAAAAAGATAAAAGAGATGGTTGATTTGAAATTTGATGGTTCAAAGAGGTTTGAGTTAGGTTGGCAGAAGTAGGGGAATCATAGGAGAGGATTAATATTGCTAGATATTTTATTTAGAAGAATAGTTATATTTAGAAGAATTGTAGAATGGTCTTTTAGAGAATTCAGGAATTCCGAATTTTTTAGGAGTGACTTTAGTAACATTAAAGAAGATAGAGCGATGATCGATTTGAATTCTGAGCCATTTTAAATATTCAAATCAGTTTTATCATATCTGACATTTCGATTTTATCTTCAGGTGGGATTAATTTTATAAGAATAGAAAAAAAATCAATCAATTTTGTACTATTTTAATTGCCCAAGCCAATTCACTTTATATTCTTCATCAATCAAGAGCTTCATTGATGGCATTCGCTTCATCATAAAATAATCTCCAGTATAATCCAATATAAGATGGACGTGTACATCTTCTTTTCATCTTCTTCAAAACCATACTACTGTAATTCTGCTTGAGAAAGATACAAGCCAAATCGAATTATCATCATCAAGAGTAGATCTATAGATCATCCCAGATTTTCCTTCAACACTTCTGTTCTTTGCGGAGTTCTACAATGCAGAGTATATAAATAAATGAGCGTGCAGGTGGACACAAGGAACGTGTAAAAAGCTTGGAAAATATTTTAGAAATCCAGATATATCGGTCGAAAGAGATTTCAAGGCCTTCGACTTTCTCCCCGGGTTTGTAGCGTAATCAACGGCAATGACAGTAATGATAGCGGCGGTAAACTTCTCTCTCGACATTCCGCGAGCGTCGTTAAAGGAAACGGTTGCCACGGAGGCTGAAATAGCGAGGGAACGTGCGCGTTTCGACGATCGAACAACCGTCTCTGATAACACGTTATACGTTAATAAACAATCTTTCGAGCGCTTTCGGCTCCTTCACTTTCATTTTAATGGAGGCTGTTTGACACTTGGAACCAGTTTGGGAGGGAAAGAGGAAACGTCTTTTGGTTGTGTCGACGATGAACTCTTGTATCAAGTTTATAATCCTGATGAGGACTTGAAGTGAATTTCTTGAAAAGAATCGGACGAGAATTAATCTTTATCAGAGATTTTGAATGGTTTTTGTTTGGAATCTCAGATCTTCTTCAACATTGTTTTGTTGTTTCAACTGGTGGAGTAATTTTTATAGATAGAATAAAAAGAAAGAAACGCGAGTAATTCGTCTGAAAGTTCTGCGCGTGTTTTTGTACTTTATTGGAAATAAACGTGTGTGTAAATATCTTGTAAATTAAGGTTCTGGAGACAGTGGAGTGGTGACAGTGTCGGAGACCAACTGTCGAATAGGAGACGATGGCAGCGATCAAAGAAGAAACAGTACAGAGGAAGATCCGCTCAATTCTCTGTGCTTCAGGCCGCGTTACTGCGACCCCCATAGGAACCCTATGGAAAGGGTGCTCCTTGAAATTGTCGACACCGAGGCGATATACGTGGAACATCTGCGACAGGTCATCCAAGTAAGCGTCATCTCTCATCATCCATCGAATCTCGTCATCCAAACCATGAGATTCATTTCATTATTTCTTTCAGGGTTACCTTATATTTTGGAGGAACGATCCGGCGTCGTTTGTGGATCAAATGCAGCTGAGTAACTTATTTAGTAATATTGAAGATATCTTCGAATTCAACAGGTAAAATAACTTCTACTTCTACGTGTTATAATATTATAAAATTATTAATCTGAAAACACTTGACGTCAGAGAGTTCCTGAAAGAGATAGAGGAATGTGGTCTGGATCCAATCTGCGTGGCAAACACATTCATAAAGCACAAGTCGGGATTCAAAGTGTATACAGAGTACTGCACCAATTATCCAAGGTAAGATTTAGCGGCATAATCCCTAATGGGGATGCTGCTCAGAGTTTGGTACATTCCCCTGTGTAAACGTAGCTACTAACACTGTTCATTTTAGCACAGTTTCCGTTCTGACCGACCTCATGAGTCAAGAAAAGACTGCGCACGCGTTCCGCGAGAGGCAAGCAGCTTTAGGCCACGCGCTACCTCTTGGATCCTTTCTTTTGAAACCTGTCCAAAGGATCCTCAAGTACCACTTACTTCTGGAGGTAAGTCGTACCTGCAGTTTTATCTCTGCTTGCACGTGAGATTTACATTTACACCCCTGTTGTTGCGCAGAACTTGTCAAAGGAGTACGCGGCGGATTGCGAAGTAAGAGAAAATGAGACTGAAGGTAGCAAGGCGATCGAGGCGGCGCTGGCTGCCATGACTGATATTGCCAAGCACATAAACGCGATGAAACGAAGGCACGAGCACGCGGTGCGTGTTCAAGAGATCCAGTCCCTTTTGTACGGTTGGCCTGGCCCAGACTTAACCACCAGCGGGGAGCTGGTTGCCGAGGGAAGATTCCGAATGCGAGGCGCCAAGGCTCCCAGGCACGCTTTCTTATTCGATCGCATGATTCTGCTCACCAAGAAGAAGGAAGACGGGCTTCTAGTCTACAAAGCTCACATTATGGTACATATCTTTCATGACGTTTCATTTCAATCACTCGTGTAATTTGTTTGTTAATATTTCGTTGTTATCGGTGTGTCGACAGTGTTCGAATTTAATGCTCATTGAAAGCATACCAGGCGAACCCCTCAGTTTCCACGTGATTCCTTTCGATAATCCTAGACTGCAGTATACTCTCCAGGTAACATGATCATCCGTTATTATTATTATAATCCTTGATAGTAATTTAATGTCAAATTGGTATTTTTTTTTTTTTTTTTGTTTTGTTTTGTTTTTCGCTTATCAGGCACGAAACTTGGAGCAGAAGAGAGAATGGACTTTGCAAATAAAGAGAGTGATTTTGGAGAACTATAACGCGGTCATACCGTCTCACGCGAGGCAGTTGGTTTTGCAACTTGGACAAACGCAGTCGGAGGGTAAGTTTATTCGTTAAATTACACAATTTACACTGTGAATAAGTTGATAATAATAATAATAATAATAATAATAATAATAATGATAAAACGGTTTACAGATGACACTTTGGCAGATAAAGGGTCGCTGAAGAAACAGTACTCCTCGCCTCCGGAGTACTTGGAGAAACGAAAACAGGAGAAAGAGAGGCGAAGGTCCGAGACAGGACTTAGACAGAAGTTTAAAAAAGGTGGCAGAAGGTCTGAGACGACAACTGAGGTACGATCAGTTTCAGGCATATCTTATACAGTATTCTTCAACTCTTCGTCTCTTCCACTTAATTCATTCATTCTCAACAGTATTCTCCAGCATCGCCACGGAAAAATCAAGCCGAGGATTCCGGCATGAACGACTCCAGAGAACACGGATTTAAATCTTCAGACGGACGCGGATCAAAAGTGAAGGTAAAAACGTAAATATTTTAACCTTGACTTGGAATCTGTGTTCAGAATTTTAAGGAATCATTTTCTTTTGTTCTTTTGCATTAAATATCATCGTGTTTTTAGGATCACTTTGCCGGTAACTGAAAAATCCAAGTTAGAATAAATATTTTACTTTAACGTGGAGTCCGTGTCCAGAATTTTAAGGAATCGTTTTTGTTCTTTTTGCATCAAAGTTTGAGAGACGTTTGTCATTGTGTTTAGGATCGCTTTACCGGTTGGAGGAGGAAATCCGAACCAGGTTTTCAATCCTACGTGTGCCTTAACCAGTCCGACGAGGAACAAAAGGAGGACACGATCGATACGGGATCAGCCACGATCGAGACCGAGTGCGCGATTATCGAGACGATCAGCGACAAGCACGCGAGCTCTTCGCCGCCTGAAACCAAAGAGAACAACGAACAGCAGACCCAGGCGCAAACGGTCGAAGAAATAGTTGGCCACATTCTCATGCAGAACCAGGAGTTCCAGAAACTGCTGGAGAAGCAACGAACGAACAGTATAATCAACGTCAGGCAGCAGCAACGTTTCAACAAACGCGTGCCCGCCGACACATCTGACGACAGCGACTCGGAGAACACGAACTACATCGCGGACAATTCGGTGAACAACAGGATATCGCGTATTAGATCGGCCCATCGCGAACGATTCGTCAAAACGAACAACACTTGGAACTCGTTGTCATCCTCGCGTGATCATCAGCAGCCTGCTCTGCAGCTGCTCTACGATAATTTGAGCAAAACCGAGAACAACAAGTCGGCGGACAACAACAGCAATTCGAAGAACAAGATCAACATCGTGCAGGAGAAGAAAGCGTTGTTCGAAACGTTCAAGAAACAGAGCATCGTGACCGAGAGCAAGGTTATCAAGACCGCGCTCAGGATAAGAGAGAACTCGTCGTCGAGAAACGAGGAGACACAGGCTTCGGATCGGATCACGAAGGCAACTGATGAAATCCAGATCGTGGAAAACGACAGAGGGAGAAACGACGAGTGCGAAACGACTGGCGTTAATCAGGAAGCGACAGAGTCGAGCAAAGGTTTCGGGAACTATGACAACCTGCAGCACGTGTGGGAAGGTTGTCTGCAGGAGGAGAGGAGCTTGGACGGGAACGACAGCCCGACTCGTCCAGCGGTCTGGCTGACGAAACTGTGCGAGGGCCTGCCGACGTCGCCACAAAAGTGCGGTTCGCTCCCGCGTAGCTTCCAAATCCATCCAAACTCTAACCAGAACGTAACGAAGTCGCGGTTCTTGCAGAGGGATGGCAAACCGATGAGCGAGAGGCCGTTCACCATAGCCTCCGACAAGCCGGCGGAGATCAATCTGGAGGACATGGAAAGGTACGCGTCCACGTGCCAGCCAGAGGGAAGAATCGCCAAGTTCCCGACCTCCGTTTCAACGTCCACGTCCACGTTCTTCTGCTCGTTGGACGACACACTGACCGACGCTTACTCGGAGATTCACATGTCGTCCACGACCGCGAACATCCATCCCGATCACAAGATCTACAGGGCAACGAACGCCACCAGCGGCAGCACGATATTCAAGAACGTGCTCTCCAAGGCTGGCAATCGTCTTCAGGGCCTGAGGAACACCATGAGCACCGAGACTCTGGAGTGTAGCGAGGAGCTGGAGAGAACCAAGTACTTTCGTTCCCTGAGCGCAGGTAAGTTGAAGAAGAAGGGCAAGACGAAGCATCCGAGGGAGTCGTCGTCGGACGTGGAAGAGCTGGTGGGATGCACGGCCAGAGGGGGCAGTTCGGACGTGAGAGTACCCTCGCTGTACTACAAACAGGGGAGCTCGAGTTTAGGTGCTCGCATCGCTCAGTCCGACTACGCGGACCCGACCGTCTTGTTCTTCGAGAGCAGACGGCACAGCCAGCAAACGCAACAAGCGAAGAAGGAGAAGAGGAACGACGACGACGAGGAGGAAGAGGAGGAGGAGGAGGAGGAGGAAGAGAGCACGGAGAACCGAGAGAGCGAGACGGACAGTTTCTACGAAAGATCGTTCGAGACGATTGAGAACTACGTGGACGTGGACGTTGACGACGCGTTCCGGGACAGTGCAATATTCAGCGACGTCGAGGAGGTCCTGGTGGTCAGGCCGCAGTCGAGCCAGCCGTCCGAGGACTCGCCACTGTTCAAGAACAAGGTGGCGCCGCCAGTGCCGGCGAAGAAGAGAGCAGAGTCGATCGCGACGATCAGTAGTCACAGCTCGGGGCGTGGCGTTGCAACGACGAGACGTTGCAAACCCAGCGTCGCTCAGAAACCCGACTACCTGAAGGTCAAGTCGGTTTTCTTGAAGGGCCAGCGGGATGAACAACTGGACTGTAAAGTCTCGTCGAGGTCTCTCGCGTCCTGCGAAAATGGAACGTATCGTTCCACCGAGAGCAACAGCGGCGAAGAGAAAGACGACGTGTCGGCGGGACAGAGTCAAGCGGGTTGGGTGAGGAAGATAGTTGGCCAGTTGCAGGGCCACGTCGAAACGTAATTTATGCCAATGAAAAGTGTACAAATCCTCGTAACCTTGAACGCAGGAATATCACGTTTGTCAACGTTTTCTTTTTTATATTTTAATCTAGGTATCCTTTCCTTACCTTCGCGAGTTGACGGAACAAAAAAGAAAAAAAGAAAAAAAAAAAAGATGAAAGTGTGTTTTGTAAAAAATTTGAACGCGCGGTCTGCAGATCGATTGTACTCGTATGGAGCTTGTTCTCGGGTATGATGTATCTGTCGAGTACAATTATATTTGAGATTATATATCTTGCTAGCGAGAAAGAGCGAGAGAGATTAATAGAACTAAGGGCGTTGGTTCGGACACAAAATTGAAATGCTTCGATTGAAGAAAGAAAAAAAATACAACGCGTACGTAACGAATCATTTTGGTTGAAAGTTTTTCATTCTGTTTTTTGTAACATTAATGTCAATGTTTGCTCGAAACTGTAGAGAACAAAGAATATTATTCTTATGCACGTGTTACGTTGTTTAATTCTATTTGTGCCTTGCGTCAATCTCCGATCTGTGCAAGCACAAAGTTGTCAGCGTGTTGTGTGCAACAAATTGAAACGAATATTACTGCCGAACAATTCGTCTTGTCGTGTAAACTAGCGGTGAAACTGTTGTAAGTGATGTACTTTCTCAAATATCGTATGTCGTATTTAATCCGTGTCATGTATAAATTTAAAGGAATAATACAGGGTAATCGAGGATTGCTCTTTTGGAGATCGTTTCTTGTGTCGTTCGGTGATTGAAATGTTTAAATAAGATTTAGTCGCTCGACGAGACACTCGGCCGCGGTGTAAATAAATAAATTGTTACGACGAACGCGAATTGGGTTGATATTGAAAATTTTATGACCACCCTGTATTGTTGCGAGGAGAAGTAACAGTTTTTTCACATTTTAACGTGTCGTTAGTCGGATTATTGTTGATCGACTGATTATTTTAACCGTCGGTGTTAAACGACATTGGAATTAACTCGTTAGGATTCGAAAATCATTTTATTTCAGTTTATTTTTCAAGAATGAAAGGAGAAACGTTACGTTTTGTTTTCTTTTTTTATTTAAGTATTTTTTCTTTTTTATTTAAGTATTATCGTAGAACCTAACGAGTTAAGCATCAAGTTCAACAAGAACAAGATGAGAGAAAGAGCGTACGGTATGTTTAAGACTAGACAATAATGGACCCATGATGCAAATGAGATTACGATTTATATTTGCAGTCACATACACACACACACACACACACACATACACTGTGCAGAAGATTTAGTATCCTTGCAATAAATCGACTTGATTATTGTCAACCAGCGTCGCCTTTTATTGATCATTGTCACATCGTGCAACAAGGATGCAAAGATAATAGGATGTCCAGGTTCAGGTGAACTCGATTATCTCGTCACGTATATACTTATATACTTCAGGTAGATTTTATTACGAGAAATGTTTATTTACAAGAGGTTTCGGCTAGTCACTGTTTACAGATACAAGGGTAAATGATACGCAACGTTCATAAATTAGTTTCGCAAATATACTGTATACAAAAAAGAAAGAAAGGAAGAAAGCAAGAAAGAAGAGGAAAAGAAGAGAAAGCAACGATTCTAAAGTAACGTGAACGAAGCTGAGCGAAAACTTAGGGGAGAAGAAAAAGAAGAAAGGAAACGATCGTTCATTATACACATTATGTACAACTGGTAGTAACTATATAATACACTTAATCGTTCGCTATTATATATCCTCGAGTCAGAGCCCTTTCCCCATCGGAAAGGATCTTCTTTCTTTCGAATCTCTCCGTGAATATAAATATAAAGAATAAATTAAGATTTATCGTTATTTCGTTTACAGAGTCTTCTCCGGCGATCGGCACGTCGCAGAAAACGCGTTTCACCTAACGAAAAGAATCATCTTGTAACAACGACACGAGACGAGGAAGTGTTTTCTTTTTTTTCTTAGTGCATTTCATTCGATTACAAGATTACATCATCGTACGCATTCTAATCGCTCGAAATCAACGCTGCCCTTGAGATTAGACTTTCACTGCTAAAAAATTTCTCCTTGTCGCTGTCTGATGGTGTGCAGCGAAGAACAACACGGACAGCAAGGACGCTTCGTTCAAGGACAACACCGATTTGAAGGAAAAAAAAAAAAAAAAAACCGGAGACAGATTGTGCCACTTTTACTCCTCTGCCGCATTCATTCAGAACAGGTGAGACAGACAGTGTTTTCCAATCAGAATTTCTCCGGGAATTTACTTGTTTACGCAATTAAAAAAAAAAAAATAATAATTAAAACACCAATAATTATTCGTAGGTCTCGTGCAAGAAAAATTCCAACGAAGAGGACACGTTCACGAGCATTGGAAAACACTGTTTATTCAACGCGAGATCTCTTCCTCCTCCTTTTTTTTTCTATGCAGCGTCTCGCCGAGAAAGCTCCTTCTTAAACCTAGAAAATTCATTTACGCGACGAGACGACGCGCTCGTTCTCATCCTATGTAATCTCGTTTGCAAGAAACATATCGTCGTCTCTGTCTCGCGGCTAAAGCTTTGGTTAATAACATCGCTGTCGACGGTATTGACGATTCTTATAGTCCCTCCCCTCCCTCGAGAAACAACGCGAGCTAACGAGATCTCGATCATCGTTATTTTCACGCTTTGCAATCCTTTACACCTCTTTTGAACTTGCATTTTCTTCTCCGAAGAGCATTTTTATTAAATATATATATATATATATATATATATATATATATATATATATATATATATATATATATTTATATGTACGTGTGTATATATACATACACAACATGTGTATATATATACACATATATTTTCTATAATTCATTTTCATTATAATAATATTCTTTTCATTATCTTTATTATGTTTCAGACCGTAATTCTTCTGTACGCCGTCGTCAGCCCGTTTTGGCCGCCGGAAGTGACCCTTTTTTTCTCTTTCCCCGTATCACGATCTTTACTCCCAAATGTTTTTCCCTTTCCTCCAAATATTTCGTTGCGAACCCTCCGTCAACAGACCGAACGTGACTTTCCATTGCTTCTTCCATCACTGGTGGCAGCTTGCTCTTCGTCGCGATAGCCCGCCCGCCTTCTCTCCCGCCTTTTTCATCGATCCCTAGAGAAAGAGGAGGTAGAAAAAACAGCGAGAAAACGACGAGAAAAGGCCCGCGACTCGATCGCGAGACCGCTTTATTACTAGAATTATTCGCGATGCCTGGCCACGACGCGCCAGGAGAGAAATCGAGCGCGGCGAGGGACGCGACGAATTGCGGAGTCACAAATCGCGGGAGAACTGTCGAGAACTGAACAGTGCAGCTAGCGCAGGAGGAAGGTTCTCGAAAGCAGTTAACGTGCGAAACAGAGAACAAAAAGGGGAGAGAAAGGGAAAAAAAGAAAGGAAAGAAAAAAAAAGAAAGAAGAAAAGAACGAGGGAAAGATGCGATAGAAGAAAGTGGAGACTAACGCGTGGCTCGTTTGCATCGAGCAGCACAGATGGCGCGATGGTGTACGAGAGAGTCTTAAAAACGGTCGACCTTAAAACGAAAAATCGATACGGCGACGCGAGTGTGTGTGTGTGTGTGCAACGTGGAACGAAGGTTGAATTACAAAACGATCGATCGATTAAAATTAAACTACGTATGTATCTACGCTTTGACACGAATACGTCACGTTGCAGAAAGGTTTGGTGGTTGGTGGTGGTCTTGGTGCGAAGGGGCCGCGAAAGTCGCAAAGGAATTATATTGTTTGGCACTGATACCCGTCAGCTTGAACTCAATACGCTCGCCGTTTAGCAAGGAAGAGCCCAGAGCATTGGTAAGTCACGTGTTCCAGCCCTGTTCGTGATCGCTCTCTCTGTTTATGGCACATCGGGTATCTTCCTTGAAACTTCGACTCCATCATCCGTTTTCTTCGCTCGCGTCCAGCGAGGTTTTCCCCGAGGAAAGGAACAGAGAAAGAAGGAAACAAAAGCTACAGCGTGTCTACGAGACAGAATTGTCCACCGTTACGATTCAGCCTGCCAGATCTGTCTGTCCCATCTCGGAACCAAGACGTCGTCGAAGGCTTCACTTCCGGCGCCAGGTACGAAACAGCGTGTCGCCGAGACTTACGTCGGATAGTAGCACAAGAACACACATTAAAATCATAGATGATCGCGCGTCGTTAGTTACGCGTTGTTACGCAAGTGGCTGTCCGCTTGGCTTTCCCTTTTGGTTTCCTCCCGGACCATTTTCTCGCCGCGATTCAGATGACTATGTGGATCTCCACGTACCTCCGCTCGTCCCATTTTCTCTCGCTTCGTCGTTTCTCACCTCGTCGTTCCTCTCGTCCACAGTAACCCGAACACGCACGCAATTATGCACACTGCACGCGCTATTGGGTCGAGCGTTTCACAAACCCCCACCTCCACCCTTCAACCCCAATTCTCCCAGTTCTCCTCTCCTCGTCACTCGATCTCGCTTTCACATCTCGGAACCGCCCTCTCCTCGAAACCTGGCCGAGGTTTACGCATCGCACACGTCCAAAAGGAGCACGCACACACGCACACACACATACACATACACATACACATACATACACACACGCGCACACACACGTCACGGTTTATCGATACAATGTATAATAACGCGTTATTAGATCCTTCATGCGCGACCGAGGCCCGCGCGTTGCCCCAAGCGAGAGATTCCTCAGCCTCGTCGAGCGTGCCATTTTACCGAATGTCCTTTTCGCTCCTCGTTCTCTCAGCGTCATGCCCGCGAAACGAAAATCGGACGATCGTGCCTGTCCGTGATTAGCACTTGGCTGCTAACGGATGATAATCGGCGTATCGAGCTCTTTCTCTCTCTCTCTTTCTCTCTCTCGTCGAACGAGACTTTAAAATAACCACCCAGCCCGGGGGGGTAGAATTGGTCGGTGAGCGAAGTTTAAAACACTTGGACGACGTTTCCCCTTTGAAAGTGACTCGAGGTTAAAAATTCGTCAGTGTGCGCGCCATCATTTGTTCCTTCGTTTTTTTTTTTTTTTGGGGGGAAGATTTTTTTCTGTTTTTTTTTTCTTTCTTTCTTTCTTTCTTTCTTTCTTTAATGAAATCGAAAATCATGTCGTTTTTTTTAAAGAGAGTCCACCGATGTTTAGAACATGGATGGAGGATTCTCTCGGGAAGAGCGGATGATCTCTGCGAATTGGGCGAGGGGGGACAGAGGGAGGGTAGCTAGGACGTACTCCTTGGGAACCTTGGTCCATGATCGGTACCAGCTAATTCTCCGGGTGGTTTTCGCGTTGGCTCTTCCGTCTTTCGTCCATCTCCTTCGGATATTTGCAATTTAATGATTATCCATCAAAGATCAACTCTCCGTCAAAGTACAACACATTTTTATTTGCAATATTTTCCAATCAATTTATATATCATCGATCGATACGAATGAGACTGAAAGAAATAACTGATGTATTTATAACACTGTGAGCACACTACCGCTTAATGAGTTAAGCTATCACTACTGCAGTTACAGGGAGGATGTTTCGTTTTCAAAATTATTCAGAATTTGATCAATTGGAATCAGCTGGTCCAGGATCAAAAACTGTTTCGTCAGTTTCGTTGGATGTACGGGCGAACGAGACTCCTGGCGTGTTAAAAAAAAAAAAAGGAAAAAAAAAATATATATATATATATATCGAACTCATGTTTAAATTCATTCGAATGCAACGTGGTGCAAATCGCGGAGAACGCAGTTCCGCTTGCAGGCGCGCGGTAAACGACTCGCTCGACGTGCGATGTTCCCTTTCGTCGTTGCTGCGAGAACCATCATCATCATCATCATCATCATCATTATCATCATTATCATCATCATTATCGTGTATCGTATCCGATAGTGTCGATGATCATCGTAGCAATTAGTAATAATAACGATAGTAATAATAATTCATAATAATAATCCATAGTAATAATTATAATATTAATTAATTAATTAATAATATATTTATAATATATATGCATATATTAAATAAATTCTCCGATATAACTTACGACTTAATCCTAAAGCTTAGCTCGACTTAAGATTTAAGTAATCCCGCCCCCATTTCTTTTTTTTGCGCACGCGGGGGGATGCCCGTGCACCCTCCAGGGCAAACCCCTGAATCTAGTGAATCCTAAAACCGGAAGCTCCGCCGTACCGACAGGCCAGCTGCCTTAAAATTTTTCTCTTTTGTTTTCTTTTATTTTACTTTCTGCCCCCCCCCCCTCCCTCTTCTTCTTTTTTTTCCTTTCTTCTACTTCTTCGTTTCTCCCATCTGCGTTACGTCGCCTCTAGTTTCTCCGTAGTTTATCTTCATACTCGTTTCTCTAAATCGTCATCATCATCGTTTTCTAAACCTCGACTTTCGTTTTCCTCTTTCCAATCTCTCTGGCGGAGACCGTGGGTTCTCTCTCTCTCTCTCTCTCTCTCTCTTCCTTTGCCCCTTGCCTCGATCGCTATTCGCCTCGCGTACAGGAAGTCGAACGACAACCTCCTCCTCACATCTCGCTCGACTCTCCGACGAGAAGATCAACTTTCCGACGAGCTGCCAACTCCGTGAAATTTTTTTCACGCACCGCCGTTTCTCGTTGAAAAAAAAAGAAANTATATATATATATATATATATATATATATATATATATATATATATATATATATATTTATGTATTTATATATATATATCTCTCTCTTTCTTTTGTCTCATTCTCTCTAATTGTAAGTCGTATCTTACAACACGAGCTCGCCTCTTTAAAATATTACTTCTCTCTTTTGTTGTTCACGCGTTCAAGGAAAACATGACAATTACATAGCCGAGAGAACAAAGGGCCAAATGTCATATACATTCTGACAGAGTAACTTAATCACACGTTGGGACAGCACCAGCGAGAATACATGGTCTGTGAGAATCCTAAGAGTGATCTTGTCAAAAATTGATCCAATGTTGTCGACTGAAGAAAATAGTAACATAGCATGTTTTCGAGCTTGAGGGAATCCCTTTGAAAAATAAGTACTGCCATTTCACTGATCCGTGTTCACTCTGAGGATCGACTATTGCCGTTTGAAAGGTGAACAAAGCTGAAATTCCATCGGATAAAAAGAGTGTTACAAGACGTACATACAACAACGTTGCGTCGCTCCTTATACGGTTGTAAATGTAATTTTCTTCTTCAGACGATTCTATATTCTTCGTTTGTAAGTTTGTAAGTAGAGGCAAAGCCACTTGATCTGGTCAATATGGACAGGTACATGTTATCGCTGTACTATTTGTCCTACCGCTATCTAGAAATCTACATTGCGCAATGTGCAAATTGAACGGGGAAACGTCCCGTGACTCCGTGAAAAGAACAAAAGCATTAATACAGCGAAACACGAATGTTTTCTTTCTTTCTTTCTTTTTTTTTTTTCACGAAATCAACCAGTTCCAATTCCCAACTTGCACACGGCATTAAATACCACGTACACGAGAAGATTCGATAAAAATTAAATATCTTCAGCTATGCGCTACACATTCAAACGAAACGCTCTGTGAGGAATCGGTTTAAAATTTCGGTGGTCATAGAATAGAACGTGGATATGTAAAATCTCTGCATGTGTAACGTGTTTCTTGAGTTCCTAACAGATTGTTCCTAATAGTTGGTCTGTGCCACGTGGAGTATTTATAATTACTTGTCTCTCTCTCTCTCTCTCTCTCCTTTTCTTTTCTTCTTTTTTTTTTAATATTCTTCTCCGCTATCAGCGTGAATGTTGTTTACAATTAGTCAGCGTATGCGTTTCGCGTATACTGACGATGCCACGAATGAAATTATTGTCTTTAGAACAATAGAAAAATTTGCCAGGTAACATTGCAGTGTCGTTTTATTTACGAGATTATCGAAATGAAAAGTCCTCTCCTTTACTTTAGGGAATTAAAAGAATATAACACGTGTAAAAAATTAGACACATGTATCTTTATACACGCCCGTATAGAAAGCATATAGATTTTTCTTTCTTTTTTCTTTATCTCTCGTTAGTTCTAGTAATCTATATCACACGATTATACATTTGCCCGAAAATTATCTTCAAAGTATATGAGAGCATACCGATTACGTGAACACAAAGAGCAATTATACCTATACTGTAAAATTCCAAAACAATTGTTCAACAAGGAGCACTCGAACGTTTACAAATCTGTACAAAAAAAAAAAAAACTGTTACGAATATTTATATACCGAATAACAATCGACGAGAAATAATTAATAATTTCAATGAAACAACAAGCATGATTACAACGTAGGAAAATTTCATTTAAATGCCAAATGTTGCAACTGCACTCAATATCTTCTAACAGTACATGCTTAGTAGCAGATACAAGGAAGACATTGCTTTATATTACCTTTCCTTTATAAGTCCTACCAATTTACACGATTAACATTCTACTAGACGTCTCCGTTTGCGTTGTTTGTGTACAATTTGATTAAACAATTCGTGTCTGATTGCTCAAGCACTGATTGTAATTAGCATGACTAAACTGCTGACGCAAACGTGTAAGTATACCAATGCATAAACCTGAATCTTATTCCCTGAAGAAACATCTCTCTTGTCTTTAAAGCTATGTGTCTGTATATATTCTCCTCATTTAAAAAAAAACTTATTGGTATTGTAGATAATTCAAGGATCATCTTTGTCAATTCAGTTGAGACATACGATTTAAAACGATAAGATTTAAAGCAATTAACGATCACTAGACTTTATCGCATGGAATGGAACGTTTGAAATATAAGTAGAAAGTGATAAAGGCGATGCACAAGACAAGAGTGACATTTAAAACGGAAACTATCTTGGACATACCTTGAACATATGATCATTTCAATTCTTTTCATTTAACAGACTGTCAGCGTGTTTCAAGCATAATTTAGCTATATCTTACAACGCAAGTGGTACAAATTTCAATACTTTACAGCCACCACATATGATTCAAACGTTTTGTCGTCGTTTAATTTAAAGTAAAGCTTTTTAGTGAGTAAAAATTCCTCAAACAAGAGAAATCAAACTCGCGATAAAATTTCTCAAATTACTTACGCCGCTGGGCAATATATATACAACATGTTTCATATAACAGAATTGTTAAAACAAGCAGTCAAATATTATCAACTATAAATGACAGTATTATAGTAAATTTTTCATAGCGTAATACTTTCTTTAGTAATCCTACTCTCTATTTACACAGTGAATCTTCATATAAAATACCAAAATATTTCAACATTTTCAAGATAATTTTACTCTGTCAATCCTTCCTAGCTCAATTTACATATTATTCTCGCCACTGCAAATCAATTGCTTTGGTTTGCAAGCTATCGACAACGGATGGAAAAGTGCCAGATACTTGCTAGATACTAAACGACTTACTGTCAAATTCAGACATCATTTTCAACCTGACAATCAATTCTTAATGGCCCTGATATATTTCGTTAACTTGGCCAAATTATGTCCAATTTAAATAGCAATTACATTCTGCGATACACTAAATAATACTAAAATATAAACTTCTATTTACAAAATTCTATAAGCAAAATTTAAACTATGTAAAAAATTAGAAACTACTTCTAATTTCCCCTTTAATACTTTACCTTTATTTAGCTAGTTAAATTCTCAATAATACGCAATAAATTACTAAAATCTTTTTTTTAATCAGGAAATATTACTCACTGTCCCTACTAGCCCTTGATTAATTTTAATTATTCGTTTAAATGCTACTAATAACTGACCATTTCTCTTTTTTTTTTTATAAGAACTAAAATAACGCTCACAGTGAGATCTATTATTCTCTGCAACGTGCAGTCTTTAAATTAATTCCCTCTTTTCAAAAAAAAAAAAAAAAAAAAAAAGGTTGTTCGAACTCACTATAACTAATATCGAAATATTTAAACTCTACTTAACGTGTCTTTTAGTTTATATTATTAACCGCGTGCGAAGATGTGAACTTCTTCACTTGTAAGCATTTAAATTGGTCGTTTCAACATTTACTTTGCGTTACGATACGTTAAACAAAAGAAAAAGAAAAGGAAACATCAAATCGTTAAAAATAATCTTCAGTGCAAATAAAATGTCTATTAGTCTATATAAATAAATAATAATTGTTCTGAATATTTTAAGTAGTTGTTCATTGCAAACGCAGGCTATACAGTATCAGCCTGCATGTCTACTGTACAGAAGAAACCATAGAAATATCACATGATATCAATTGATTACTAACATTCTAACTAGCGCGAGTGAAATTCAATAACTGCAAGATACTATATGTTGCCTATGTTAAATGACATAAAAAAAAAAAGATGAAAGAAATCTCAAATGTTAAATAGAAGTTAATTTGAAAAAAGCGAGACTGAATGCTCGTTTCACCGTTTAACATTCGCATTGATCCTTAAGCTCTATTTTATCTAGCACTCTTCCCCTCCCTCCTGTTATACACAGTTAAGAAAGTCTTTCACAAATGAGAAATCGCATTTCTCCCAGTCTTGATACCCATCACACAAAATGCACTTAATGTCATTATCTTGAAGAAGTGATAGACGCTAAATTCCATTGAAATTCAAATGTATTATACGTATATATAGACACATCGTGCTCCTAAACTTTGAATTCATGTACAATTACGAAGAAATTGTTTTTTTTTTTTTTTTTTTTTTTTTTGGATATTCGTGATACATATCCACCAAAGCCATACGTTTTTTTAGAAGAAAATTACGGAGTAGAAGTCTCGTTAATTTTTTTTTTCTTTCCCTTTTTTAAATTCACGGAGCTTCGCAATTATATGTAACACAAAGCGTTCCACGGTGCACACATTTAAAACGGTTTATGTGACATCTACATCTACAAAAAAATGATTGTTTTTCCGATGAATTAATCGTTAAGAGCGTTTTTTCATACATACTTCTTAAAATAAATATTTTATGATTGCCCCGTCATAAACTACTCTGCAATTTATACTGTATATATTTATAGTACAATCATCCAAAATTAGAGACACTGATGAACGCAATGTCTTATTAAAATAACTTCGACGCAAAGGCCCGACATGCCTACCAAAGTAAAACTTATACAAAAGAAGATGAGACATTGTATTGCATCGAATACACGCGTTTCAATTTTACACTTTTCCATTCTTCTCTTTTTTTTCTCTCTTTTCTTTTATTCATGCAAGAAAAATATATTTGCTGAGACTGCCGTTCGATAAATATACCTTTATACACACGGTAATTAATTTGTATTTAAATCGTTGTATTTGTTGCTTCCTGTTTTACTTGCTCGAATATATATTAATCTACTTAAACTACCTTTGGCAAATATATCCTATGACTTGTACAAAGTTTAGACGAGAAGCTTACAATGATACAATTAATTTATTTCCAATATTGTAAGGATATTTCTTTTATATCATCTAAAAATTATTCTAAAAATATAAGTATCCGTGTATCTACAAGTAAATATGATTATATATGCGTGGTTCTCGGTGTTTGAAACTCGTGGGTGTGAGAAGATGAATTAGAAAAAAAAGAAAAAAAAAAATGAAGAATATTGCTTAAAATCAAGTTTCGTGTCTACTAGACATTTACTTCCTGTTTACTAGACATTTATTATAATAACGAATGTCTAGAATATCAATTGCGAATATTCATTCAATTTCGTGAGAAACGCACTTTCTCGGGTGAAGTTCTGATTGATATATAAGCTTTATTTTGCCAGGCATCAGGGCGAGATTTACAGATTATTACTTTAAATATATCGTGCTTCTTTCTAATAATCTGTTCCACCATGATCTTTATTCGAACCTCGAAGATCATCAATTCGAAATGTCTTCGTTAAAAAATTCTCTTTCTCTCTAGATAAATAACCAGTTTACACAGCAATGGCTATATGGAGAACAGTGACGAATGACGACTGTGTATGTGTGTACGTTGATGCACGCTGATTTCTTATTCGTTATGCACTTTAAAACAGGATAATTAACAATTCTCTTACCAACATCGACCACTGCCTCTCTCAGTCACATTTTACTTCACACGTAGTCAGTGGCAATCACAAGTCACTTGCGATTCACCATTATACCTCTGCACATTTATATAGTTGAAAGTATTTAACTTAGTAACTGGCTTCGTGTCCAGCGAGTATATACAAGTCTGCGCCCTCGGATTCAGTTAGTGTACCTGACTGAACCAAATGGCTCTCCAGCATCACAACTCTGTCGAGAGAAGAGAAGCAAATTTTTGTTTTTTCATTTCCAGACTTAGTTTAAATTGTTCGAAAATCTGTTAATGTTATGCGATGAATACATACTTATCCGATCCAAGTAATCTGTACGTCCTACTCGGATCACTAATCTCTTGCGTGACTTCCCCATTTTTGAAACTTCTGCCTTGCATGCCATGCTTGTGGAATGCTAACACACTGTCTGGTAAGCAAACTGAAGGCAAAAAGATGATTGTGAATACAACTAAAATAATCTATAGCGAAAACGTAACTTCTTCTATAGAAACTTACTAATGGATTCAATTTGAAAGTTAAAATGTAACTCTGACATGTGCTTCCTGCTCGATCTAGGTTTTCCTTGAAGCGTTACCACTTTTACTACGTCTGTAAGACAGATGTATAAATAAGTTATAGACATTTAAAGAATGTTACATAAGGATCTTCTCTATACTTACTATCATAACAGACTAATATTGCATTTTTTTCTAGTTGTGTAACATTGATAACATGAAGATTTTCTCTCCTTGGTATCACAGTAGCTATAAAAATTTAACAAGAAATAATAAGCATGCTTTTTTAACTTAACTGATACGTAAAAGTAAAAAAAAAAGAAAAAAAAAACGTACCAGAACCATCCATATCTTCCAATTCATCACTGTGAAACCAACTTGCCCCCGAGTTCATATTAATCAAATCCAACTTCAATTTGTTCTGCTGATATGGTTGTTTCACAGACACGCACACCATTGGATACTCCATTTCGGGAGTGATTATAATTTCGAATACGTTTAATGGTGTCGGTAATGTGCAATCGAAATGCTTTAATAGCATAAACTTATTTAGAGGGTCATACCATTGCATTAAAAATATTCCAGTAGGCATTGCACCGCATAAATATTTATACCTGCGTTAAATATTTCATCAGTCAATGCATTGTATACATATATAAAAAAATATTAATTCAATTTAAAATAAATGTTTCATTACCCGTTATATGGATTCCTTCCTACGCAACACTTGGTACAGCCTTTCGTGTCTGGTACTTTAGTAGTTAGAGCAAATTTCCTAGGTACTAATCTCTCAGATATTTTATTCATATGCAACGAAAATCTATGAGTCTGTTTGCTTTGCATCGCTAATAAATCGTGTCTATACAATTGGGGAGTCTTTCCTAAAATTTGAGACCACCACTGTGCATATAATAATTAAAAGGCGATGTATTAGCAATCAATATCTTACCAGATAAAGACATAAGAACATCCTTAATAACGTACATCCAGATCGTACGTCTAGGATACAACTGATCAATCGCGGTTTCATGAAGTTCATTTAGATTTAAATTGTAAATCCCTTCCTCCGCCGCGATTAACAAATGCTGATCTCTTGTGTCCGGATGAATCCAGCTCGCGGTACAATGTATTCTCAATGGACATCCATTAAATACCTGTGTACAAAAATTCAGACTCAATGTGGTTCGTACGATTAATTGGAATAAGATAAAGGTAAACAAATCGAACGAACTTTTGAGAAACATGCACCCATATGAACTTTGGGCGTTGGTGGCAGTCCATTGCTGATAGGTCTGGGAGGTGTATGGCGTTTTCTATCCCTTCTTCTTGGAGGAACAGGAGGAGTGTCGGACAATAAGTCTGGGCTCATACTTTCTCTGTCTCCTTCGCCTGGCATCTCATTTTGACCTGCAAGTTACCTTAGTTAAACGAACGAAAAGGAAGCATGCTAACAGTACGAGTATTAAAATTATAAATATTCACACTAAAGGGTGTGGACTACAATTTCAAATTAAAAATCAAGAATGCTCCTACCATTTGATCGAGGGGATTCGTCTCTAGGGCCACTGTCGGAAAGGGATCGTTGACGTTGTCCATTAACATTGGCTAAGGGTTGAGTATTGTTCACTAGACCATACAACTCGTCCACAGAGCTGTGACGCCTAGGGCTCGCTTGCGATCCTAAGCACGAAATCAACTTTTTATACTGATTACTATCTCGAAATCTTTTAGTATCTCAAAATTAATAAAATGATATTGACATCGATGAAATGTCTGTATAACGCAAAACTACATGCTTACCCGAGATATTATAATATGGACAATGCACTTCACAGTCATTCGACGACTCCCCAAGAGGAAGAGTAGCTCTAAAAAAGAACAAACAAATTGGCAATTATTAAAAAATATATATCACTATGTATCAAAAAAAGTGAGTGTATTAGAAATTTTCCTTTTAAAAAAGAAAAAAACCAGATGTTACTAATGTTAGTAAATTACAAGTAATCTTTAAATAATAATTAAGAAATGTGTCTTAATAATAATAATTAGTTGAGAATTAAAATAGTTATAGCGTCGTTTATGAAATTGAAAAAAATGCAATGTGAAATTGTTAAAATCAACATGTATAAAATCATGGAGTATTAAAGTATTTGTTATTGTACTATTTAATAAGCATTGGTAGGTGTGGACATTTTTGAAAAAGAATACGTCTTACAAGAGGTGGTGCTTAGAAAAAAAAATGAAATGTTTAAGCAAGTGTACGCAAATGTTTGTCAATAAATAAAAGGGAAAAATTTTTAAAATAATAATGCTCTGATTTTTACGAGTTTTCTTTAAAATATCTGATTTTCCATGAATTTTAAATATATTTGCTTTCGTAGTACCTTACACAATTTTCTTAAAAATGAAATATTTCAGTAAACTATTTGAAGCTGGACATTTACTATAAATGATTTGTATTGAATAAAATGCAAGTGTTACAAAAGTAACAAAAATAACCGTATTGTATCTACAACCAAAAGATGGAACAGCCTACTATTACATTTTATCGTTTACTTACTGCAGGGAATATAGCTGGTCGCAATGCCCACCAACCATCGACATTGCATTCCCCCTGCACACATGAAACTATGATCATATACTATAAAATGATTACACATTCTTTTTGTTATTAATCCTGTGGAATTTTTCATCAATATATTCACACAATTAATTTTTTTATGTACAAAATTATCCACTTATTTTATGGGGAATATATGGGCAATATTTTTCTGTCAAAATAATATATATAGGTATGCTTACTCATAAATGAAGGATCATTACCACAACCAATTAATTAGATATTTCATTTGCTTTTATCATAGCTGAGCTTATCAACGCTAAGTTACAAAAATATAGTTGAAACAAATATTTGAAATCTCAATATGATACATAAACTTCCACCACCAATATGGTTAACAATTGTAAAAATTAATTCTAAAAAAAAAAATTAAAAAAAATATTTACATGCAATAATAAACATTAAAAACATCTATTGCTAAAGAGCCATACTTTAAGAGTATAGACTCCAAAATCACAATATTTACATACGTGTGTTGAATGTTAATGTTCACTGGGAGTTTTGTAAAAGGTATAAATAAATTGTTAGAATGAGTCAAGGAAACGCATAATGCAAAGTAGCTTTAATCAATTTTAATGCTTCAAATAAAATGCGAAAGAAATAGTATTAAAGTAAAAATTGATAAATAGATTTCAATAAGTTAATAAGAAGCTGCAGAAAAAACTAAATGGTTTAAATGCGAGGCATTAGGAAATATATGTGCAAGGTGCAAGGTGCAAGGGAAAAGGGTTACCTGCCAATACCTTAGCAACAACTCCTCATCAATGTACTGCAATAGACTCCTGTTGGGAGAAATTATTAAAATTACAAACTTATCAAAGAAATTAAAGCTATGAGAATTAAAATGCCGTGAGATTCAAGGATTAGACGTAATATAAGGATAATGTAACAACTATTTCAAGATACTAAACTAATTCAAGATTGCAAATCAGATTATAGATTTTTAATTTAATAAAATATATGCTCTGTAAACATGCCAAGATTTTATTACTTTCAATTATATTATTTAATATCAATTATTCATCAATTACTGGTTGCATAAAATATTACAGAAATATAAACAAAAGTTACAATGTTCGAAATAATATTTTAAATAAAAGGATATGGAAATAAATTTAACAAGACAAGATTTATATAACGAAAAAAATACGAGTGTAACAATAATACTTACGCAATGGGACTAGTGAATACATCAAGACTTTTCTGAACTTTCATTTTAATCATGCAACTAATTTATATAATCATCATGCATATATTTATGGTATATATTACTTTAAAAAATCAATCACTTGTACAATATAAATAAACAAAAATATTAATTATTCATAAGTTGTAACAGTACTTACGAAGAAAAAATAAACATAAAAAAAAAAGATTTATTTTCATTAGCCTCATGCTTTAGATTTTTAGTCACATTTTATATCAATTGCATGCACGTCTACTTTGAGAACATCATAATTTATATTTTTTATTAAATTAAATGGATGATAGCATTCCATCTTGCTTCTACTTTTATATGTTTATCCGGGGAATGATATTAATGTTTAATTTCTTTGGGTAATAATTCAAAACCATATCATATCATATCTTCATACCAAACTACCTGCATTTCATTACCTTAAACTCATATGAAATATCTCTGTGCCTGTATTGCCTTGATGACATTCTTTACTATCTGTCGTATCTGTTGTAACGCTAGCGCCAACAGTACTGATACAAAAATAAATTATATCATGTCTAGGAAGACTATAGAATCAATTATTTAAAGCAACCAAGACATCGTAAATTTCTTTCATTAATTTTTATATGGCACAAAGAATAAAAATTATGTGAATAATTTCAATACTATAATTTAAAAGAAAAAAAAAAAGGATTTGAATAAACGAGGTCGTTAAATCTCTAGAAGCATTAAATTTACATATTTACTTTTCGTAAGTTTCTATTAATAGTTGATGCAATGTATGCGAAGCAAAAGCAGACGTGCCATACGCAGCTCGACATTTGTTAGATTAAAATTGCTGTTTTGTTCGATTATCAATTGTATCACGAAATTAGGATTTATATAAAATCTTCGACATTGTAGTTGATAATTATTGTTCTGTTTAAAAGACAGAAGACCAAAACAGCAATCACCATATTAGTGGAAGGATCTTAAGCATCCCCTCCCTGAATTTTCCAGGACCACATATCGATTTGTGTAATCAAATAAATCTATTTGGATGTATACTTACTTTTCTTGTACGTCTTCGAACGCCGATCCGATACCGCAATCCGGATGAACATCACAGTTATGAACAGACTGAACAATTCAACATAAAAATATTATTTTAAATCTAACATTTAAAAATATGAAACATATTTTTCATAAAATGTGAAATCACCTTGACATTATTCATAATATCCATAATATCCCAAGATGGAGTAGTGTCCACAGAAGAAGAAATCGCATCTCGTTGTAACGTTCCGTCAAGATTAATTTGATCTGTAATACAATTTAAATACATATTTAATTAGATTACATATTTGTAAAAATATAGAACGTATGTTTGAGTATAACATCTTTACCGTCGCTGTCTAATTGTGGTATAGGACTTTTTGGTCTAGGTCTCGCAGTATGACGAGATGCTATCCTCTGTGGAACATTAGGTACAGCTCCATCTTCATCTGCCTCTAAATCAGTAAACATATGACTAGGATTCGATACTTTTTGCAACAATTCTAGAGCTAAACGTTTGCTCATTTCTCCTTGAAAAAATGCATGCTGAAACAGAAAAGTTTCTATTTAAAATATTTTCCATAAGATTTCGAATCAAATCCAATGTGCATTATTGTATGTTCTAAAGGAAAAAATAACCTGCAGTAATTTTTCAGCAGTCGGTCGTTTTTTAGGATTTTTAGTTAGAGCAACTTTTACAAAATTATGGAATGTTGGGCTCCATTTGTCACGATCCTTCAACGTTGGCGGTTTAAAACCAGATTTAGACATGAGAAAGAGCGCTCTCATCGGATGCAAATCAAACATAGGTGGTTGCAATTCAGCTAATTCTATTGCAGTGATTCCACATGCCCAAATATCACAAAGTTGATTATAACCACCCTTCCTTTCTACAGCTGCAACCTGTAAAAATTTAAAATGTAGGCTTCTGAGAGTAGTCTTCGCAAAATTACTCGAAGGAATCTCAAAGAACCTCAGGTGCCATCCAATAAGGAGTGCCAATAAAACTTTTCCTTTTGTTAATGGTCGCAGTAATTTGCGCCGATACACCAAAATCAGCTAATTTGACGTCACCAGCTTCAGTCAGTAATATATTGGCACCTTTAATATCACGATGCATTTTGCCCATGCTATGCAAATAAGCCAATCCCAAAAGAGTTTCTCTGCACATGTATGCTATTTGTATTTCCGATAATGGTCCAGTTACTGTAACATCATTAAAAAATACTGTAATGTATTCTAGAAATATCTTTTTTTTACGTTGATTGAAAATAAAAAAACTATTGTAAAAATATATTAACGAAATACCTACTGTGATATATATCTTGCAAAGAACCACCTCCACAATATTCCATACAAATCCATAATTTATCCCTCCTCAAGTAACTTCCATAATAGGCAATAATATTAGAGTGTCTACAATCTTTCATCATTAAAATTTCTTGCTGGATTATTGCAAAGTCATCCCCTATAATATTTAAACAATAATTTAATAATAAGTCATTGTCTTACACAGAATTTAACAATTTGAAAATAAATATTGGCTGATGGTAAATCAAAAAAACATCACATTAAAACATATTTTATTTATATGTAATAGGTTATGTAATCATAAATAAATGAACAAATACAATGTTTCAATTAATAAAAAAAAAAATAATATATTCTAAAGCTCTTCATATTCTAAAGCTCTGCATTATTGTAAAATATAAATGTACAAACTTATAGGCTTTTACATTTAAACATATATTCTTTACTAAAAAGAAAAAGAAAAAAACTGCAAATACAAAAAGGAAAAATTGGTAAAACAGTGCAAGATACAGATCGATCACTGTTTGACCAATAATAACTTTAGATCAAAGTAACGAGGAAGTAACGTGAAATTCAGCTTGATCAGCTTTTCTAAATCACTGATAGCATATCGAAAATGCAAATGGTCATTCGCATCGATGTTAATTCTGCAAAGGTCGAATAGTTGACAAAAACAAGCGGAGAAAGACTGGAAAAGCATACCTGGTTCCAATTTAATAACCTTAATTGCAGCGAGGTCGTTCATGGAAAGTCTTTTGGCCTGCAACAAAAAACCGAGTAGTACACGAGCGCAAAATGGTCAATGGCGAATGTAAGAAGAAAAAAAGGATATACGCTTGCGAACCTTGTAAACATCTCCGTACGTTCCGCTGCCTATCCTCTGAATGAGCTCGTACTCATCCTGTGGATTCCTTCGGCTTATGTCACTGGACAACGCGTTCGCGTTCAAAGCCATTCTAAAACACGGATTCTTGCCGGCTTACCAGCCAACGAGCGTAATTAATATCTACAAAAGAAGATTAACCGTTAAAGTGTAAAAACACATTTGTTCGTCGGAGTGTCACTTCTCTCCAAGTGTCGCCATTGTTCACAACAGCTCTGAGGTTAGTTACAACTGGGCGAGCGGTTCTTGCGATACATCGATCAATCGATCTTGCATCTCGTAATGAAAATGTGTTGGAACTTGTTCTTTACTTTTTTTTTTCTTTCATTCATACCTTTCGTTGTTTCTCTTTCTCTTTCTTTCTTTTTTTCTTTTAAATCTTTGTTACAATAGTTTTCGTTTCTAAAATTTTTAGCGAGATAAGCTAATAACAGTCGCGGTTTAGGAAACTATATACACACATGCACACGGACACGCACATGTACTTCGACTACATTTTTTGAAATTACGAAAATTGAATTTGTTTGGAAATTGAATGGATTTTAGTTTTAATAGGACTAAAACAAATTTTTGAACTATGCAAGACTTTGAAAACACTGAATAATTTGGTATTATTTATTATGTTAGCTAGATTGGAAGATAATATCGGGAACATAGGTCAGAGATAAACGTTATCATGAACGATAGCAATAGATAACAGATCTAAACAATGCATTCCTTATTTATATATGAGGCACTAAAGTACTAAACTTTGATATCATTCAAGGCAAGATCAGAAATATATTTTAGGATTGTTCCCGCTGGAAATAAATGCTATCACGAGTAGATTATTTACATTCTTCGAGCGTGCACATATGATAGCTATGCATATAAGAGCATTCAGTATCAAGTCAGTTTAGTACTGAACGTCCAACGAAGATTAAATTGAATTTTTCTCTTTAGAAATACCAGCAACTGAATGATAACTCGACAAGTAACGTAGAACTGAATAAATAATGTAGAACCACGTCAGACGTAATGTATATCCTGATGTACATGCACGTACGTCCATTCATAATCATGAAGAACTTCCTTCAGAACACCGAAGGGAGTGCGTTTTCCCAAAGGGGGAAACTCCTTTTCACAAGAATCCGAAAACAATCTTGGCTAGTCAGAATACAATAACTCTTATGATGTTTCTAAGTTCCGTTCATCGTCATTAGCTTGCTATGTCTATCAACAGCTCGTTAGCGCAGTCATTAACTCGCGCTTCCATGAAAAGACGATTCACCGATTTTTCCAAACTGCTTTTACTTTTTATGGAACCATTCAATTTGCCAACCAACGTTATTCATCACTAAATAGTAACCTTGTTATTACATGCATATTACTCTGCAAACGAAAATCTGATTGGGCTCTGACGCGCACGCTGAGGATAAAAAGCCTCCGTCGGTAATTTATCATAATTGCATTGATGCGCATGAATATTCTTCAGAACTTATGAACCTAAAATGCAACGAATTATTAGAAAAATCTTGACTTATGAAATTACTTGTATTGTACCTGCGTAATCGTTGATGTATAATACTAAAGTTTTACAAGCAACAAGCTTGATAACGAAGCAACTGAAATTTTAGAAATTTGCAAAATTGTAAAGATTTTTGATCTGCAACTTGTAATCTTCCGATTCAGTGATGTTGTTAGTTGATAAATGATTGCGCAAAAGGTCCCTGGTAATTAAATTGCATTTAGCGTGGACTGGATCCTTGTAATGACTCGTAAGCAGCTTTCTCTTGTACAACTTCGTAGAGACAAGTTCGGGGGATCGGGTTGGAAATTGGAGGGGGTGCGGTGGCGTGGTTTCTCCCTGGCTAAGCACATAATAAAAAGGTATATAGAACAAATGGGCGGCTAAACTCGCCGTAGCATGGCATAATGATAACACGCTCGAATAATAAGGATAGCCAACAGAGGAGACAGGGTTGGATACGCACGCGTGGGCCTGCGTTCGGGGCCCGTCTTCCGCTTCCACTCCGGTGAACGTTCTGGCTTTAACTCCGGCTCAGTTCCACTACGTGCCTCTAGCATTGTACTCCGACGTCCTAGATACACTCGGTTTTACGTCCACCGGGCTGTTTTCTTTTCTTCATTCTCAGCCATCTCAGCTGCTTCCTGCACGTGATCCGCCTATCCTCGTCAAATTACAATACTCAAACAACAATTAATACCTAGGTTCAACAACGTTTGAAAGAAGAAAATTGTGCGCTGCGAAAGAGAGTTTAATCTAGCGAGGAGTTTCGTTCCCTGAATTTCTTGGTTCCAAATTCGAACAGGTGGTGTTTGATAGTAACATTCCTCACGTTTCTAAAAATCAATAACACGAAGCAATAATATAAAAGTTTTAACAAGTTGGACGAGAATAAATTTAGAGCGAGGCTCTTCGGTTCGTAAAACTTACCGTGATAGATAAAATTATCATTGTTGAACAAGACGCGGTGGAATTTAATTTTTCCGCTACGAACGACAACGAAAGTGACGGAGAATATAACGTGCTGATGTTTTCATCCGTAACGTAACTTTTTAACCGGGACCGTTCTGTTTGTTGAAGATTAGAAAGTTTGCCTTGCCCGGATAAGTCCTGAAATCGACGTTTCTGTCGTTTGTGAGCTGAGAAAAGAGAAAAGGGAGGTAAAAAACGTTCGAATCTCACAAGGGATGTGAGCATGCTTCGACCAACCACCGACGATGGCGCTGCAGGATCTCCGTTGTCACGGAGTCTCTTTCGAATTTCACAACAGCTCACTTCGTCCTATGTTCTTCGACGGTGAGATCCCCGATGTTGATTGATAACTATAAACGTTAACATTATCCCTGAAACTATAAGTGAAAAATCTGTCTCGTTAACTCAAACCGAATGTGTCGACGTTTTAATTTCACACAAGTGCCGGAAATATTGTATTGAATCGTATTGTACTGAATGTGTTTTAAATCGAACCTTTTACATCGAAGTGCTTGTAGTGTTTGTAACTCGGTGAGAAATATTGTACTTGTAAGAAGAAAAATATACGTACAGAACATATATTCCATTAAAGAGAACAAATGAATTCACAACTCAAACGCACCGTTACGGAAGAAATTGCAAAAATGATGGCGCTGGTCTCGATGGATCAATGATCGATTATTTTGTTCTGAGGCAATATCGATTCGACGAACAGCTCGTCCCGACAGGATTGATATCGATAACAGGAACAAGGAGAATTATCGATAATAATCAAATCGGTCGGTGCAGCCATCTTAGAAACGATCACGTGAATAAAATAAACAAACATACAGAAATTTTAATAACCTTAATAACAAAAACGTACAACGAAAAAGGAGATCACAGAGATTTATTTAATCTTGCAAATTTAATTTACAACTTCTCATGATGAAGTCCACTTATTTCCAAAGCATCGTTGCGATCGTATTTTCAATCGTCGTTCGAATCACTGGCGAGCAAAGATTCGCGGAGACGCCAGCGCTGTATCAAGAAGTGTCGTCCGGTGACGACGTGCAACTGAGGTGCAGGGTGCAGGACAAACGTGGCCAGTGCATCTGGCAAAAGGATCGAAAGCCAGTGGGAATGCATCCGGATAAATACGAATGGGCCAGCGGACGCGGCAGTGATTGCACTCTCCTTATCAGGAGAGCCTCCCTTGACTTCGATGACGGTTACTGGGAATGTCAAGTCACTTCTGGCGACTTCACGCGGCAGGATGCACTCACTTCCTTGCCATCTCGACTTTTAGTTAGAGGTAAGGTGGAAAATTCGTCGATTGAAGATTCACGAACTATGATTTTCAGGGTGAACTGAAGGCGATATATCGATAGTTAGCAATAGTTTGGTTAATCAATGTAAGAAGAAATTAATTCAATGAATTGACATAAGACTAATATTCGATTAATATTATTATTTATTATAATATTTATAATATTATTTATAATATTTATAATATTATTTATAATATTATTATATTATATATAATATTCTTATTATATTAATATCATTCGAGTATCATAATTAATATTGTAAATTCTTAATAATCCTCTGGGAGAAATTGCGGTTTTTATGAGCCATTTATGAAGAGGTTTGTTTATATGTCTTGTAACTTGTAAGTTGTAAGTTCTAAATATTCGGTTGAGTATTCTTAGATGCAATTTTTTTTTTTTTTTTTTTTTTTTGTATAAAACACCATCTGTTACTTGAGAAAATGGATCTTTAAAGTCTCACAGAATATTTTCTTTCTGTCTTTTTTTTCTTGTATAGTCACTGTTTGATACCATTAATACTTTTAGTTAGAGGTAAGATGGAAAATTCGATGATTGAAGATTCACGGACTATGATTTTCAGGGTGAACTGAAGGCGATATTCGTCAGCAATAGTTTGGTTAATCAATGTAAGAAGACGTGAAATTAATTCAATGAATTGACATAAGACTAATATTCGATTAATGTTATTATTTATTATTTATATTATATATAATATTCTTAATATATTAATATATTAATATTATTCGAATATCATAATTAATATTGTAAATTCTTAATAATCCTCTGGGATTAAATTGCGGTTTTTATGAGCCATTTATGAAGAGGTTTGTTTATATGTCTTGTAACTTATAAATTGTAAGTTCTAAATATTTGGTTGAGTAATCTTAGATGCAATTTTTTTTTTTTTTTTTGTACAAAACACCATCTGTTACCTGAGAAAATGGATATCTAAAGTCTCACAGAATATTTTCTTTCTGTCTTTTTTTTCCTGTATAGTCACTGTTTGATCCCACATAAATAACAAGTTTTACGCTCTTGAAAATCTTCACTCCACCACTTCACCGCCAACCGAATTTCCGTAACCTGCGCCAGGCCGAGAATTTTTTCACCCACTTGAGAAAGAGCGGAACTTTGATACCAGGCTGTATCTGTGTGTCTTGAGATACCCAAAGTAAATATGGGTAACAGATTGCCTGGTTTTTCGAGGATCTATCTCGTGGAAGAGGAACACTCGAACTTGATCAACCCAGTAATCCAATTTATCTTTCCTGAAACACGGTCAGAGTTGCCGCTTGGAATGGATCGTACATTAATGTAACGTGTCTAATTGTAAGTCGCAATTAAGAAATCAACAGCGGCTACGTAATTGATCAGCGCGCACAGCGCTCCACGAAACGTTAAATCGCTAAACAAGTGTGTAGACTTAGGTTTAACGGAACGTTGCGTTTTTTTACGTCACCCCCTGTAGAACAGATATCGCTCTCCACGGCGTGAATGATCCTCGACGATCCGTGTGTACAAGCGGTGTAATCAGATTCTGACGCCTCCTCAATGGAACGGTGCAGATTTCGGCGGCGTAATTTCAAATTCGCTGAAACGCGGGCAACGCGACATGATGCAACGCGAGCCAACACACACACAACGTTCTGTTCCACTTTCCTCTTCGCCGCCTGGATTTTTGCAACAGTTGCCTCGACCAAAATTTCCTGCCGAAATTGAACTTCCGTGGCTGTATATATAATCTCTGCCTAAATTCCATTTCTTCAGCTGTATTCGCAAAGAAGCATAAATTATCATAAACATCCGCAGTCACAAAGGATATAGTTCCTTTTTGTACGGTGTATCGACATGAAGGGGAAAGTAAGATGAAAGCGTGGATAATTTTGTTTAATTGCAATTATGGACGAGAGGGAAGAAATAGAAAGTTTCTCTTTTATCTCTGTCGTTATTGAACGTCAAATGAATTTCAGTGAAACCCCGGAAGCCACGGCTGGAATACGGAGGGACGATTTTAAACTCGGCGCTGACCCTAAGGGAGGGTCACGAAGCTACCATTTCCTGCGTGTCGAGATATGGAAACCCACCGGCCCTTATCAAATGGTAAGTACCGAAAGGATGAACTTAATTCAATCTTGCATAATCATTGCTAGACCAGGGATTCTTATGCATTAGAGATTGAAGAGATTAAATTAATAAATTAACGTACTTACAGTCAGTTGTACATACATGGTAATATGTATGGGGTAGCCACTGAAAAACTGAAGGGTTTGAAAGAGTCATAACTTGCTCATTTTCAGTCTTTTATATTTCCTTTTCTTGTAGGTTACAGAAAAAGAAAAAAAAAAAAAATACTGAAAAAAGTCCATATAATTATGTTTCCAAATAAAATAATAAAAAAAATTAAGAAAACATGTGATTGTAAAAAATTAAGAAAACATGTGATATTTTTGTTTTATATATCATTCAGTCTTTCAGTGACCACTCTATATAAAATAAATTTGTATAAATCTCTTCTTTTGGAAGAACTTCAGCCTCGCGATTAATAATATTGGTCGAAATTGTGAAACACGAAAATATGTTCTTTTCAATTTAATTTTTTTTTTTGGTCCTTGCGCTGCACTCCGTTCCAATTGTACGCAGCAACGAAACATTTGCGCAACGGTGCTGACATATTCCTATTGTTTTTGCAACGACTTTCATTTGAATGTGTGCTAACTGTAACTGAAATCACGTTGCTGCTTCTCTCAAATGTAAATAAAAATCGTCGCACAAAACTCTAAACGACAGAAATTGTCAATTCGCAAAAAAGAAAATGAACGTGATTCTGTTTCATCTATTTGGGACATTTCAATTGACATTGGTAAAAACAATTCTGTAAAAAGTTTCCTCGTTGTTATTATTAACTAGACTAGTATCACTGACGTATACTTTGTCTTCGCAGATTCTCTAGTCTCGTGAAAACAGTATTCTGCCAAGAGATAAAAAGGAAAAGAAAAAAAAAAAAAGAACGCGATTCGCAGAGGCTCTAGCCGAGGCAAGAAGCCATAACGCGGTGTTTATGCAGCGGAGAGGTTAGCCAGCAGCGTCTTTTTCCATGTCATGGTCTAGCGACCAGCTAGCCACACCTCATCTAAATTCTTATAACATAAAACTTCACTTCTCCGCCGATCATCGCGTTCGCATGAGCGGCGTTACAATTTCCACGATCGCCTGGCAGCCGTGAAACGCACGTGTTACAGGATGGAGAATTTTTTCACAAATAACAAATCGTCGTAACTGCGAATTGAAAATCTCCGCTTTCATTCTGTGTCTTCGCAGCGAGATTGTAACAGAAATTATGATCTGTAGTTGGTAGATTCACGATTTAACGTTCGTAAAACTAGATCTAAAAAACGTTGTGTGACTTCTAGATTTAAAGATAGTTAATTAATTATATTTAGATGCTTGAGATTTGTCACATCATGTCTGTAAAAACAAAGAATATTTCCTGATGACGAGGATTGCGAATCTCATCGTCACAGGTCCTCTATCGGCTAGTTAGAAAGCGCGAACGATTTGGATGGACGAGGAAGTTGTACGAGCGGTGGGCAGGTTTCACTGGTAATTGTCCGTGAATCAGATTCGATTCGTCTGATTTTTCAAGCAATTCAGTCCGCGTTTCTTCTTTTTTTCTCAATAGGAGAAAAGAATGATTTCTCTCTTCGCTGAAAAACATTTCGTAAAGCAAGAAATATCTCAAAGACAGAAAATCGTTTAGCTAGTAAAAAGTTTCCATTCTGATTAAATTTTCGCTCGAGACAATTTATGGTCTTCGCGCGTCACGGCTCATTGCATATTGCCTTTCTGTATTTCTCTGACTGGCATCAGCCTGGCCGCTCGTAGGGAACAATGAATTTCACTCACGTATGCATGATTTTGTTTTCTGCGCGGAAACGAATCGAACGTAGAGAGCGAAGAGAGCCAGAACAGTTCCTAACTTCACACTTGGAACTTGCGTTCTTCTTACAGGCTGTCTAAATAGTTCGTCGTCCCTCAGATTTCTTTCATTTGCTCTCCTGTCTCTTCTTTCGTGCTCCGTTCCGCCGAGGATTCAGCAGTAAGCGCAATTATGCAGATTGCGGCCGTAGAAGCGGAGAAACTGGCCGCCGGGCATAGCCGCCCCGTGAATCATACTAGAAAGAGTGTAAACTTATAAACCTTGAATATCGGTATTCGTGGGAAATTGCTAAACCGCTTTGCGGAAACCTGGCTGTAGCAGCTGTTGCGATTAGAACATGCGGCGAAGACTATTTATCACTTGTAACTGTAGAAATTTACTGCTAGAAACTTCAGAGAATTTTTCTTTCTTTTTTTTTTTTTTTTTTCTTTTTTGATACATCAAAATACAAGCTGAGTTCCAGTTATATCACTATGAATGTATCAATTCATTCATGAGAACATCCTTGACTCACTTTCAGAACGTCTTGAATCTTGGCAGTTAATCTATGAAAATGAGAAACAATCGTTATTAATCGATCTTTGGCATTTGTTTCTGTTCAATGTTAAAATTAAATTTAATTATTTCACATTAATTTTGAATAAAAAAATTTACTGTTTGTTATAAAAGATACATTTTTTTTACACAGGTACATAGGAGGAGACGAAGTAGAACCACTGAGAGAGCAGACAAATGCGACAGAAGTGGATAGTCCAAAGACCTGGGCAGCCCACAGCCTCCTTCGGGTCCGTGGACAAAGGGAGAACCATGGTCTGCCGATTCGATGTATCACGATGCATCCATCCAGCATCGTTCCAGTCTCTGCGGAAACACGACTGGATGTACATTGTATGTATATACCGTGTACTTTTGTACAACTGGCTATAGACAGGTTTCTATCGACGCAGAATGGAAACAATCGTATTTTGCAATTCACGCTGCAATTCACTTTTGTCCACCAGACGATAATGTTTCCTTGCACATAAAATAGAAATCTAGCGTCGAACGGAGGGCTCGAGTTTCCAACGAACAGACTTGGAGAAACGATTCAATTTCTAATTCTTCTCGGCGAGTCTCTACTATTCGTTTCAATGTTTCAACGTGGAATCTTCGAAGATTGATCTCTAAGAGTCATTTGTACATTGAATTCCCTAAAAATAGAATTGCCTAAACACTGGAAAGTAATAATGTCGTTGTCAGAAGATTTCGATTTTCCTCTGAATGTTGTCTAAAATTCTTAAATGATGGTAACTTCGACCACGTTGCTGAATTATGTGTCGAATTTCAGATTCCCCGGAAGTGAGACTAGAGACGAAGCCCCGGCTGCTGGTGGCAGCTTTGGAAGATTCGGCCAGCTTTATGAGCCTGAAATGCTTCGCAGACGGCAATCCCAGCGGAACGATCAAGTGGTTCAAGGATTCAGCTCCCATCGTGGTAACGAGCAACGTGGTGGCGTTGATGCTAAACAGAACGCAGCAGAACGGCACGATGACCGGCTCCGAGCTGAGATTCGAGCCGGTCAAAAGAAACGACGTTGGTCTCTATTCTTGCAAGGCGGTCAACGCTATCGGTGAAAGCACCGCAGCTAACTACAGACTAGACGTACAATGTTAGTTACCGACTTTTACCGTGATATCTATTTCCTTTTCCTTTTTTTTTTTCCTTTCTTTTTGTCCACCTCTCGTCCTCTTTTACAACAACCACCGTGATCAACGATGAGAGTACGTCAATTTGGCTACTTTCCTCGCCTAACTGTGCGCTACGCTTTATACACTAACCGCTCTTCAGACAGAGGAACGGTTGGATAGAATAATGGCAGTTGTGTGCTCATTGACATGAACGTCCATTTATTAGCGGCACAGTTACGGCTTGCTTTAAGCAATAGTTATTGGGTTTTCTCTTCTTTTATAAACTACACCGTAGCCTATTTTCGTCCGGAACGATTTTCTCTCTGATTCTTTTGATATTAACAATAGATCAATCAATGTTACAGCAAATGATTTTAGGATAATTCTAAATATCACAGGCGACCTATCTGTTCTTCAAGTGAATCTCTGAATCACCAAAGGGTAAAAGACTGTCTCTCGGTTTTCAGATGGCCCGAAATTAAAACCAGAAGACCCTACTCGCAACGACACCGTGCAAAAGTACGAGGAAACGACCCTGCTCGGCACAAGCTTGGAGCCCTTCGAGTGTACAGACTTCGAAGCAAATCCTCCAGCTCAATATCGTTGGGTGCACGTTCGCGGTGGCGTTACAGCGACCATCGAGAATCCGTTGCAGACGAAGGACGGTGGCAAACGCCTGCGTTTGGAGAACGTGATGTGGTCCGACGAGGGGGAATATCGATGCGTGGCGTTCAACGTGATCAACGGAGTGCGAAGAGAAATGCCCAGCGAGGCTCATTACGTGCTCCACGTAACCGGACCGCCTGAGATACAGGCGAGGCCTTCTTCTTCCGGTGGAAAGGGCATTTACGAGTCGTTGGGATGGGCTGGGGAACCGGAACACACATTGAAGTCTAGATTCTGCTCAAGACCGCCGCCCAGGCTCGTTGCTTGGCAATGGGGAAGTTCGCACATCAGATCTGGCGAGTATTGAAACAGCTTTATGAATTTGTCATTTCTTTTGGGAAGCTACTAGAAAACTAGCTGAAAGAATTCCTAAAGGACCACTCATCTTTTTACTCTGTGTTTTATACTTTAACTTTTGACTTTCATTTTTCTATCTAGGCGAGAGCATTCACCCGAAATATGAAGCACTGTCGTTGGAGCACATCAACGAGGACGATATGCCTACGAATTGTTACTGGGCAAAGCTGGTGATCAAGGATCTCCAAATCGAGGACGCTAGAATATACACCCTCTTGGTAGAAAGCGAAAAGGGCAGAGACTCCACCAACATCAAGTTGATCATTCGCGACCCAACGGAAATGAGAGTAATCGCCGCGGCTGCTGCAGTTGGCTTGCTGTTTCTTCTTCTTCTGATATCTATCGCCGTGTATTCAGGCTTGAGATTGAAGAACAGAAGATATCGCCGCGAAGAGGAGGAAGGTAGCATCGCTGCCGACGCGTTTTACAGCAATACACCTACGACAGATAGACAAAAGAACGGGAACTCGTCTCAGAGTAAAGGATACGCAAGGAAAACGAACTCGGAGGGCGGATTGGCTGTTACGTATGATTATGACCAGATAACAAAGCAGGTGCGCGCCATGAGTCCAGAAGCGCTGAAAGTCAGGCGAGCACCAGCTGTTCTTCAACCACCAACCATTGTGTGACTATTACTGTACGATGACTGACGGTGAATTGTTCTGTTATTGACCATATTGTACACTAAAAACCACTAAAAACAGGTCAACATTTTGTATACTATTTGCGACTGAAAAGTTTAGATTTTCTATGGTAATACTTAGGAAATTTTCGTTTATTTTTCTCGTAATGATGAGAATTATTTATTCATAAGTAATTTGATAATGTATGTTGATGTTGTCATAGATAAAATTGAATGTATGTGATAATTTCACTGCAAATGTTATCTCGAGTACTTAACTGATCAATTTTTAGAAATTTTGTTTTATTTGGGAATTAAATTGTTTGTTGTTACTATTACTGTTACATTTTAGATTGATTTTAAGCTTTGTAACTTTGTGTAGAAAGTAAAATACTTGGTTTGTAATACTGCTTGTGCAACACACAAATGCACTTTTGTATTAATGTACTAGAATTAGAGTTTTAGTATTTGCGTGCCTGATCTCGTTGAACATTGCTTGTAACATACTCGAAGTCTTACATCGATACATACTTTTGCGATATTTTTATGTAAAAAGTAATGTCTAATGATAAATATTTGTACATATTAGATTATTATATAAGGAAGGTATTGCATAATATAATAGGAAATATTTAACTAATTTCAAAGGTATTTCACGTGATAAATCTTGCACTATAAAATAACATATGTGTTCAGTGCAATAATATGCAGCGTTAATTTAATATCGTTAATTCCAAAGCGTATTATTAAGATGTTATAATAAATTTTGGGCCTTTTTCAAGTATAATCCATCAGTTTAAATTTCTCTTTTATTTATTTAATCTTTTCAAACTTTCGATCGCTGACATATTTTATAAAATAACACTGACAAGCCTACATAATAATACACAATTAATCTTTATGTAGCATTAAATACACTTTACACATTGTAAAAAAAAAAGGAAATGATATTTATAATCATTAATTTTCGAGAACGAATAATTTTCTTCATTTTTCAAAAAAAAAAAAGAAAAAAAAAAGGAAGAATATGTGTATTTTTATTTCTGATATTTTAATTATTTGATTTATGATCATTGGCTCCAAAGGGACGTTCTGAAATATATAATCATTTGCAACATATATATTACCGATATTTATAAAACTTAAATCTTATATTATTCATGGAACTATATGTTCCTCTCCCATATATTTCAACACTCCTCTTAAAGTCAGGTACACTTTAAATAAATTCATCGCGTTTAAGACGTTATTCTAGTCATAGTTCTTCCCCTTGTAGCTTTACGGTGCATTAAAAAAAGAAAAAAAAAAAAAAGAAAAAGAAAAAAAGATATCCACGGACCAATTTAACGACCGTAATAACTATGACAAATTTCCACAATAAAATTTATATGTTGCATAGATGGAGGCACGATCTTATCTATAACAATAATCCCTCGAAAATTATGTTCAACAGTTGCTTTTCTTTCTTTTCTTCGTACTTTTCAATCCCTGTGACACATCAGGCATATTTGCACATTTCAGCACAAGTGAAAGCTATAATAATAAAAGAAATGCAAGTGTTCTCCATATATGTATATTTCATAAATTCTATATCGACTGTAACATTTGAGTTGAACATGCCACAGAACTTCTCAGAAGTCATCGTTATGTATAACTTTCGACAGTAAGAATTCACTGATACATTGCCTTCAAATTAAATCAAATTGCAATTTCATAAACTATTTGAATCAATAGCGTTCTCGTTTATACTGCGGTCTGTATATATAGCTTTTTCTTTTTTTTTTTTTTTTTTTATACATGATCAACTCAACGTGTTATTAAATAACGTGAACGATAAAGTTTTATTTTTGTATAGTACATAAAATATATATAATTTACAGGAATCGTTTTGTCTATCATGCTACAAAAATAGCATGTATATGTGTCTTTTCTGACTCGAAGGAGCTTAATCTTGTCTTTGTTCCATGAAAACTTGTACGCTTGTTACTGACATATTCCGTAAGCATAAATATCGTCGTCGACATGGTTACGACTGAGGTTTTTTGCGCCTGCCAAACAGGTTACTTAAAACAGAGCTTCGTTTGTAATCGCGGTCCTTGCGATTACTACCAACGCTGTGTTCACTTTCTGACCCACTTTCGCTAGCTCTTCTACCGTCCACGTTCGTCAACGATTGAAGGTTTTGTGGAACTGCCGGAGGAGGCACGTACGACGGCGGTAAAGAAACTGGCCTACCTGTGAAGGTTGAGTTATTCTGCTGCATACCCTATAACAGACAAAAAAACGTATTGATATCGTAAATCTTCTTCTAGTCCTATTAACTGAACAAAAGAGATAAATGAATAATGATAGATTAATAGTATTTTTGTAAAGATCTAACTATGTAATTTCAATTGGTAAATACATTTGAGTTTCTTGCGTATGTTCTTTCATTGAGAAGCCAACAACGCTCCTTTCACGTTTATTCTTTCAATTTATTATAATTACCTCTCTGGATCTTGCACTTCCATAAGTAACAGAGACATTCCCATAAGCTGTAATAGAAAATGATATTTATTACTTCTTTTTTCAAAATGGCTTTCTCGGTAGCTTTCATAGCAATTATTGATTTATCAAGAAATTTTTATTTTTAATACACATTGTTAGGACACTTTAGGACAGAAATTACACAATTGGAAGGTTGAACAAAACGATTTGCTGATAAACAATTAACTAACCAGGATCATGAGGAACATTCCACTGAGCTATTCTGGTTGGTGGGGGGGCACTTGATGGCAAGGGAGGTGCTAACTCTACAAAATAACGACATACAATGAAAACAAGGGATTTTCTACGTGTACGCAAATAGAATTGAGAAGATTTCTCAAAGTACCTTGGTGCGGAGTACTAAGATCCACGCTGCTCTGCCTATGCCAAGTTGTATTGGATGGATACTGACTGGAACCATTGTGATTCAAAGTTGCGCTACGCTGTTGGTAAAAGGTGGATCTTGTTTGTACCTGATCCATGTCTGCAAAACCAGAAAAGCATCATGTTCATAAAATCAGTATCTTACAATTCTTCTAAATTAATGAATTCAAAGAAAATTTATTCAGTTACTATACCATCGCGTCTGTATTGCGGGATGGCTTCTGAACTAGGTGATCGCATTGGAATAGGAGGCGGTGCTCCTCTCGGAGGAATGGGCGGCTTGTCTCCAGAATTTGGTTGATACTGTTCCCTCTGACTAGCCAGTTGCTCTTGTTGTATGAGCTGCTGCTGCTGCTGCTGCGCCATTAATTGTTGCTGTCTGTGCATCTGCAGAAACTCCGTTTGCGTTTGAGGCGAAGCCATGAAATCGGTGTTGTTCTGCGAGTCGCGTTTCTGTTGATTTTGCCTGTGCATTTGCAGGAATTCGATCTGCACGTTGCTCCCGGAGTGTTGGTTCGACAGGTCGCGTCTGATCACGGAATTCTTTCGTTCCAGTTCGGGAGTCGACGCGTGACTGCTACTGGTTGAAGCGTTGTCGTCGCCGTGGTCCCCAGGCACATTCTGCAATCTCTCCAGGCTTTCCTTCTGCGACTCGTCGTAGCTCAACAACTGCATGCTCGGAGGTAGCTTGGCGTGGAACGATATCTTGTTCACCCAGTCCTCCATTTCCTGTTGATTCGGTGCCAGGAACAGAAACTCCGACCCGTCTGTGCATTTCAGTCTGAACACGTTCTTCTTCTTGGTGTAGTCATCCGCTTTCTCGCATATAGCGTTGAAGATGGTGATGGGAGCGGTGGCTGCTTTGCTCAGTGAGAAATCCTCCATGTCCTTGAAGAAACACAGAAGCTGGCCGCACAATACCGTGTAATATTGCTTCCAGGAACGCACCGCCGCCTTCTTGCCAGCGCTCTGAAGTTCGTGTTTCCTCTCCAACAGACCCTGAATCTCAACCGGTGGAAGGGCGTCCATGTTCTCCATCCTCTGAAGCTTCCTGAAGCTCTGAGTTCTCCTCCTGGTCGTGAAGCTCGGCGTTCTTTTCGGTTTCTTCGTGTCCACCTTCATGCTCTCTGCCCTTTTAATGTCGGGCGTCGTTCTTTTCAATTTTTCACCAAACACGTGGGATATCCCATGGGGTTTCTGCATCGGTGTTGAATCCAAGCCTGAGTCAGTCGTAGTAGCAGTCTTCAAAGGTGGTAGTTTGTTGATACACTCGTGTTCGTCGGTCGTTCCGTTGACCTCGTCGTGCATGGTACGATGCGGACTATCCAGCAGTCTTCTTCGCTCTTCCTCGCGTTTCCTCTCCTCCGTTATCCTCTGTACCTCCTTGCGTTTCCGTTCCTCCAGGCGAGCACGCTCTATTCTTTCCTTTTCAGCCTGTCTAGCGGCCATTTCCACTTCCTGCTGCCTCTGGAACGCTTTCTCCAACATGGTTATACGCCTGAGCGCGTTGAACCTCTCCTCCTGCGCCTCGATGGTCTTCTCGAAGTCCTCGTGCTTTCTTATGAGCTCTTCCACCTGCGGGATACTCTCCCCTAATTTTCCATCGTTCAACATCGGCTCCCTGCTCACTATCCAGTTCTCCAATGTCTCCGCCTCGCGTTTGAACAGCTGTGTATCCAGATTCTGCTCGTAGATACGTCTTCTCTGCTCCCAGGTGTCTTTTAGGAATTGTTGCCTATGCTGCAGGACAGATATCTTATCCTCTATTTCCTTTGCCAAGAAGTGACCACCCTCTATCAGTTCCTGGCCGGTTCTGTAGAACTTGTCGAAGGCTTCGTTGCGCGTTTCAATCTCTGTCTTGTACTCGTTGTGCCTCAGTATCAAGGCCTCGGCGCCGGGAACGTCGCGGGCCAATTCAGGGGCGGTGACTTTCGCCACCATTTCGTTTATCCAAGACATCAGATCTCTGTACTCGCCCAGGTACGCCTGCAGTTGCTCCGCCTGAGACAGCTTGCTCCTTCTCTGAGCTGCTTTCTCCAGTAGCTCGTTCCAGGCTGCCTCAGCTTCCTGGTGCTTCACCTCTATGTGCGAACGAGCATCCGGGAACAGTTCGATCAGCCTCGACGCCTCGACCATTAGCTGTTCAACCTGTTCTTTCACAGCGCCCAGGTCCGTTTCAAACCCTTGGTGCTTTCTCACCAAGGCTTGAATCGTTTCCAGATCTTGGCCGTAACCGTCAGAGCTGAGGGCAGTTTCCTTCTCCTGGATCCAAGAGATAGTTTCATCCGCAGTTCTGTCGAACATGTGCACCTGTTTCGCGCCAGCTAATGCGTCCTGCCGCGCGTGCGCCAGCTCCTTCAGATCTTCCCACTGTTGCTTGGTCTCCTCGATTTTCATTAATATTTTACCCTTCTCCGGATTATTCTCCTCTATTAGTTTCTGCCCTTCGTCTAGCACCGCTGACACCCGACCTTCGCTGGTCGTCAAGGCAGCCAAGAAGTTGTCGAATATCTGAATGAGAAGCTCCACGTGCTCCACGTCGCGGCCATAATCCTCCGACGCAGCGACGGTTGTCTGATCTCCGATCCACTCGATGACCTCGTCCGCTTTCCTGACAAACTTGAACAATTTCTCGCTCTCGCGCAATCGCTGGAAACGGTACTCCTTCAGTCTTTGCAACTCCTTGAACTTCTGCTCGATTTCCAACTGTTTCTGCATGATGTTCTTACTGTCAAAGTGATGCCGGTCGATCAATCCGTGCGAGAGTTTCTTCAAGTTCCCGATAGTGTTCTCGAAGCCGATCAAGTCCCGCTCTATCTCCTCCAGTTTCTTCAACAACGACTGAACGGAATCTTCGTCCTTTCCGTAATCGGTAGCAGTCAACTGCGGATGTTTCTCCTTTATCCACTGTTCGGCTTCTGCCGCTTCGGCGTAGAACATTTGCGACTCAACAGCGTCGAGCAGACGTAGTTTCCTGACGCTGGCCAGGTCTCTGAGATGCGACAGTTTGTCCTGCAACTCCTGCGACAATTTCTCAATCTTCTCCGAAGCGAAATGGCCGCTTCTCACCATAACCGTGGCTCTGCTGACTAGAGACGCGACCACAGGTTCCCTGGAAATTAACTCCGCCTCCAAGGCGTGATGCTTCTTCTGCAATCGTTGCACGGTGGTCAGAGAGCTTCCCAGATCGTTGCTCGCGGCCAGTGGTTCCTTCTCAGACAACCAATGCATCTCGTCTTCAACGTCCCTCGTAAATTGATGCAACAATTTGGCGTCTTCCAAATTATCCCTTCTTATCTGCATCGGTTCTTGCAGGCTGTGGTATCTGTTTATCGTGACTGCTGCTCTCTCCTGTATCTCGTCGCACATGAAGTGATTCGATTTCTGAAAACTGGCCGCTGTTTCCTTGATCGACTCGCAGGCCTCGTTGTGGCCCAGAACGTCGTTCTCCAAGTTCGTGTGTCTTTTCAACAAGTTGGCCACGCTAGACAAGTCTTTTCCGTGATCCTCCGATTGCAATTGGGTTTCTACCTCGTCCATCCACGTCTCGAATTCGTCCAAAGTCCGTCCAAACAGCAGAGCTTGGTAAGCGTCGTTCAATCTGTTCTTCTTCAGTTCGCTGGTTTCTTGGAGCAAACGCCACTCTGCCTCCAAATCGTCCAAACGTTCTTGGATGCTCTTCGAGGCGTAATGGCTCTCCTCGATCAATGATTCACCTGATAAAAAGATTAGAATTAAATTTTGCAGGATTTGCCAATTTGAGAATGTAACAAATTATTATGAATTAATTTACCTTCACCGACTACCGCAGCTACTCTCCCCTTGTTCGCCATCAATTCACTTTCGAATGCAGCGTGCTTCTGTATCTTGCTCTGCAAGTTGGACGAATCTCTGTAGTTCTCGTCACCGGCCACCTGTTGCTTCTGATGGAGCCAGCCTTCGACTTCGTATATGTTTCTAAGGAACTGATGCAGGTGATGGCTTTCCAACAGTTTCTTCCTTCTTGCTCTCGCGCTGTTTTGCAGTTTGTCCCTTCTGGCGCAAACAGATGCCAGTCGATGCTTGATAACGTTTGCGTCCGCATGTTCCTTGGACAAAATTTCGTTCGCGAATTTCTCCAACTCGTCGATACGACCTAATTGAGAGACAAGCATTTTCTCAAACTCCTCGTGTTTACGTAACAACGTCTCCACGCCGGACAAAGATTCCCCGAGATCGTCGTTGTTGAGGAATGCTTCCTTCGTTGCTAGCCAACTGTCTGCTTGATTAGCTTGCTCCTTGAACAATTGCAACTGATGCGCTTGCGTTAATTTTTGCCTCCTGGCCTCCCAAGCGTTGACCAATCCTTGCCGAAGCTCCTCCAGACGTTCCAAGTTGTCCTTCACATCTTCGTTGATAGCTAAAAGCTTCTGCCCGTGTTCCTTCAACGCTTTGAAGGTATCCTGCCTTCCATCGATCTCAGCTTTCCTTTCTTGATGGAGTTCCAACAGGGCTTCAGCCTCGGATATCGTTGCCGGCGGCTCGGACTCGTCCATACGTTTAATCGTATCAGCTACCCAAAGTTCCAACTCGTGTAAATCGGCCTGGAATTTGTGCAGAGTATAAGCTTGATTCAGGACCTCGCGACGATGCTGAGTAAACCGTTGCAAGTCGTCCCAGTTCGATTGTAATTCTGATAATATTCCATTTATTTGTGGAGCCTTGTCCGGGTACTTTAATGATAAATCTCTAGCTTCCGCTTTGTGCTCTTTCAATTTCCCTTCGATGGCGGTCATGTCTCGCTCCATTGCCTCTTGCTTCCTCTGCAGATGCTCGACAGCAGGCAGATCTTTGCCAACATCGGTAGTGTTCATGGCGACTGACTTCTCGATAACTCTTTGACTGGTGTCATCTATATCCCTGTTGAACAAATGAATCTCTAACGCTCCAGCTAGAGTTTCCCTGTAAGCGCTCAATGCTCCTTGCAAGCCTTTCCACTTGTTGTTGAAGTTGTCACGACGTTGTTGTATAGCTTTCGATTCGTTGTCCCTGCCTTGTTTAATCAACTTATCGGCCAGAGCGTTGATGCTCTTTATTCTGGAATCGTCCACCCTCATATCACTGTCTACGTCGTCGAGCTTTCTTTGAAGGCTTAAACAGTGTTCATAGTCCTTTCCAGTGTCTCCAGCTTGGACCATCATCTCTTTGTCTCTTATCCAGGCCTCGATCTTCTCCACTTGGTTGTTAAATTCGAGGATATCCTGAGCCTCCTCTAAACCTCTGCCACGGTTCCCAGACTCTAGTAACAATCTTCTCCAAGAAGCAGTAAGATGTTCCAGCTGTTGTCGAATTTCAGCGCTCGCTGGGTGCTTCTGTTGAAGCAATCTCTCTCCTTTGGTCTTGATTTCTTCGATTCTACTCTGATTTGCTGCCAATTCGGCTTGGAACGCCTGGTGTTTCTGCAGTTTTTTGATCTTGTCCTCCAAACTGGACACCTCACCTTTCGACGCCTCTGCCTCGAGTTTCTTTTGCTTCTCGCCGATCCAGGACTCAGCCTCCGCGACGTCCCTGACAAACTGAGCGTGTAGTAAACCAGCTTCTAATCTTTCTCGCCGTGCCTCGCAAAGGTTTCGAATTCTTGCACGTCTTTGTACAACTTCGCTCAACCGTTTGGCAACCGTAGGCGAATCAAAGTGATTCTGAGCTAGAAGCTTGTCACCGTGCTCTTGCAGAGCAGTCAGTTTCTCTTCCTGCGTGACCAGTAGCTTTTCAAATTCGTTGTGCTTCTTCACTTGGGCGTCCACCTCTTCGACGGAATCGCCAAAGTTGTCGCCGCTTAGCGCAGCTTCTTGGGTAGTTGACAGGTTGTCCAGTTGTTTAGCATCTCGCAGGAAGAAGTGCAAGTCTATCAGCTGGTCCAGATGTACTTTCTTGTGTTGCCAAGCGGTGTGTAATTTTTGCCTCTCGTCCAACAGCTGATTGCATTTTTCCTCGACCTCCAAAGCAGCGTAGTGGCCAGTCTGAACCATAGCCTCGCCCAAGTCGAGAACCGAGCTGAAGCTATCTTCTCTTGCTTCGATCTCCCCTTTCAGAGCCTCGTGCTCTGCCTTTAAGATCTGCGCGCTTGCTGCGTCCCTCACCTTGTCTTCGGTCGACATCGCGGCACGAAGTCCAGCTGCCCAATTCATCAAGTCCCTGACTTGGGTTAAAAATCGCTGCAGATCGCAACTCGCTTGCAACTGATCTCTTCTGTGAGCAGATCTCTCCTTCAACTCTTCCCACTGAGCGATGACAATCTTTTGTTGTTGATCAATGTGTACCGCATTATTTCCTGGATAGTGTGCTTGCAGCCTGGACGCGTCTTCGACCAAAACTTGAAGTTGCGCCTCCAAGGCGACCAGGTCGTTCTCGAAACCCTCGTGACGCCTGATTAATGCAAGCACGGAGTTTAGATCGCGCCCTAGGTCCTCTGGTAAAGCTGCCTCTTTCTCTTGTATGCGAGATAATGCTTCGGCCACATCTCGATGGAATCTATGGATCTCCCCGGCAGCTTGTAATCTCTGCTCACGGTTTCGAATGAGACCAAGAAGATGTTGCCAGGATTCCCTAATAAAATATGAAAAACAATCCTAACTTTATCATCTAGATAGTTTTAATCTTCTTTCACGAGAGAATTACAAAACATGCTATTGATATTTACAATTTACTATGCTACGGAATCCACCAACTTACATGATAAGAGCATGCTGTCTCTGCACTTGCTTTACAGGATCGTCATCGTCTTGTCTGCGTTAAATGTATGTACAAAAACAGTTAGTAACCCAACACCGACATAATCACACTCTTCAGTCTATTACCCATTTTCAAAATCATACTAAAAACTATATCAACTATTCACTACCAAATATATAGTGCTATTAAAATCAAAAGATAACATGCGTTTGGTGAAACGAAAAATTCCATGTAACGTACACAAAAATTTCTATGTACATAATTATCATACATCATTGAAATTAAGTATCAAATCTCACCGAAGTTGTTCCTGTCGTTTCTCAATATCCTGAATGTATGGACTCTCATTAGCAATTAATTTCCTGGCCAACTCCTCGCACTGGTTGAATCTTTCAGAGCCTGCCTCTATCCTGTGTTTAAAGTCGTTGAACTTAGCCTGCAAGATCAGTAAATGTTCGTAATCTTGGCCGTAGTCTTCAGATGCTGCCGCCTGTTCCTGTTCCTTGATCCACTGTTCTAATTCTCTGCTCTCTAAGAAATACTCGTGGCGATACATGCTTTCCATCAAGCGTTGTTGTCTCACTGTGGCTAGTCTCTGCAATGCTCTCATCTGTTGAGCAATAGCTTGTTGCTTATTTGCTATTGCTTTGCTATCGGGATGTTTTGCATTAATCATTGCGGCAGCAGTATGACCCATCTCTGTTACAATGCCATTGTAAGTGTCTAGTTCTAGCTCAACCGCCTAAAAGATTAAGCAAAAGCCAGTTATCTTATGAATTTTATGTTTTATAAATTAATGACGTAAGAGTTAACCTTGTGCTTCGTTAATAATTTTGTAGCGGCATCGCGATCTCTGCCATAATCGGTTGAACTGAGGACGTCGTTCTTTTCATTTAACCAGCTTTCAACTTCCCCTGCTTCGAAGAAGAATTCCTGCGCTTTTAGGGATAAGTCCAGAGCTTTGCTTCGCTCTCCGGCCTTCTCTTGCAAGTCTTTCCAAGCTTCGTCGAGGACATCGCATAGTTCTCGTATCTATACAAAAGTAAAATACTTTAGTATAATTTTAGCATAACTTTACAGTTAATTCTATTAAAAAATACATTGAGAAACATATTTTACGTGTATTTTTTTTTAATGAACGTATAAAAATAAATAAAATAAAACTTTGTTAATGTTTAAAAATGTAAAATAGTCTAAAATATAATGTAGAATAAAAGATAACATATCGTGTAAAAATATATATTTCAATTTTGAAATAAATCACGTAAGACAAGCACATGCATGCTGTAAAAATTTTCCTATTTTTTTATTTAAAATATATATATATATGTGTGTGTGTGTTTAAAAATTTTTAGTTCTTTTAAAAATTTTTAAAAAACCTTAATTAATTAAAGCGGTATTATTTCTTTTTTATTTTTACAGCTATTTGGCGAATCACATTGTTACTTTTCGAATAAAACAACAATACTCATGCATCTGTGCCGACCTTACCTCTGCAGACCCAATATTCTTGTAACAGTCCCAACTGTGCAAAAATTATAAACTTTTATTTCAGATCAGACCAAGTATTTCTCAAAGAACAATAGCAAGGGAAATATACAGATTTATTTCTCCCTAACAGCTAGTTTCAAGCAATTTTATTGCAAATATTATTACCTTCTTCTTCTCTGGATGTGCTTGATCAATCAAAGCTTGCCCCGAAGCTGCGGTTTTGTCTATCATTGGCTGATGGCCAGCGATTTCTGCTTCCAACTTCTTGTGTTTCTTGTGCAGTGTTTGAGCCTGATGCAGATTTTGTCCGAGTGTTGTCGACGATGCTTGAGGAAGATGATCCTTTATCCATTGTAACTCAGCATCTAATTCAAAACCAAACTTGTGGAATCGTAAACTCTCTTCCAGTGCTTCTCGTCTTTTCTTAGCTGGTTCTTTCAAGCTACGGAACCTGCACAAAAATAAAAATCAAATTTTTAGTATTCAATAATTAAAATTTAAAATTTTTGTATCGTTTACAAAATGTTTACAAAACATTGCGTACTTTCTTTGCGTGGCTTGACTGGTTTTCAATATATTCACAGCATCGAAGTGCCCTTCATGAGCCATTTCTTCACCCATAGCAACTAGATCATCTACTTTCTGTTCCCATTGACACATGTCACTCTCGAGCGTTTGATGTTTCTTCAACAACTCCTTGCAGCTTCTAAGATCCGTTCCCACTTGTTTACTTTGCAAGCAGTTCTCTATTTCCTCTAGTTTCAATCTGGCATCCTCCATCGTTCTATTGTAACCGTGTTGAGAAGCAGCTTGCCTTAATCTGCGACCCTTTTCCAAAGACAAAGCCACCAGTTGATCCCACTGGTCATTCAACTCTTTCAATGTTTTCCCCACGTCTTCCGATCTGTAGTTCTCCTCAGATATCAAAGCTTTTCCAGCTTTGTTCACCGCTCTCAATTGTCCCTCGTTAGCTCTCAATTCTCTTTCAAATGCTTCGTGCTTCTGTAATTTCCGTTCAAGGTTGTTTAAATCTCGATAACTCTCATCGGACGCCGTCTTCATTTTGTCGCCCAGCCAGTCTCGCAGGTCATCAACTTCCGCAGAAAATTGCTGATAATGTTCCGAAGCTTTCAAAGCTGCACGACGACGCTGAGCAGCATCTTTCACTTGGTTCCTTCGAGCCAAGACTTGATTCCTTCTGTCATTAATGTAGTCTTTCTCATAGTGATTTTGAGCGATCAACTTGTCCGCGGTATCGCTGAACGCTTTCAGTCTGTCGTCCTGCGCGTGGAGAGTGTTCTCAAACTTTTCGTGCTGTTTCAGTAAGGCTTCAACGTCATCCAAGGACTCCCCTAGATCAGTAAATTCTAGGAACGCCTCATGAGAGCTGGTAGTAGCTTCAATTTGATCAGCTTCGCGATTAAACTGCTGCAGCTCCAAACATTGTTGCAGCCAGGCTTCCTTCGCCATCCAATCTGACGTTACAGCCTGGTACAAGCCGTGCAATTTATCCAAGCGTTCACTAACATCCACCAGGGTTGGATTACGATGTAACAATTGATTTCCAAGTTCCTCGACCTCGCGAAATCTGAGAAAAAATGAAGATTTTGTTATACTGTTTCGATTAATTTAAAAAATTCAAACGTTCGAATACAACTTACTCGTCCTCGCGTGTTCGTATATCTTCTCCAAGTTCCATGTGCTGCTTTCTGAGTTGTTCAGCTGTGGCAACGTCTCTAACAGGTTCCTCGGCCTTCATCGTCTCTTGCATATCCGTAGCCCAGTTAATCAAATTCTTCGAACTGTTCATGAAGATTTGTTGACCCACCGCATCTTCCAATCTGGATCTGCGTTCCTTAGCCTTCGTTTGGACTTTATTCCAGAGTTCTTTGATTTCGTTTTGCCTGGCGTTCACGTTGTTCAATTCATGCGGGTAAGAGCTCTTCACGCTGTTCGCTAGCAAGTTGACCTTTCGTACTTTCTCTTCGACCGGCGCCAGCTCCCTCTCCAGGTGTTGGTGTCTCCTTTGCAGAGCCTGGACTGTTTTCAGGTCTGGTCCAAGTTCTGCCGTGTCCAACTGAGTAATTTTTTCTAACATCCAGTCGTGAGCCTCGTCGCAAGTTCTGTTAAACAACTCCACGCTAGAAGCTCCTTCCAAACTTTTTTCCTTCTGAGCCTTTAACCTGTTCAAGTGGTCCCAAAGCTGATGGATGTGCCTCTGTCTGGCCTTGACTTTATCCAACTGGCTATGCCCTTGTCTGACGAACTCATCGACCGCGGCATCTATGGCCTCTACTCGTTTTCCTGACGCCGAGAGATCCGTCAGGAACTTCTCGTACTTTCTTCTGGCAGTCTCTACGTTATCTCGCGTGTCGTCAGCTCTTAGCATCTTTTCTTTATCCTTGATCCACTTTTCAAAATCATCGCATTCGCGATAGAAGCCGTAAAGTCTTATAGCATCCTCTAACAAAGCATGTCGTTTCAACGCCAATTCCTGGAGCTCGCTGTAAGTTTCATTGATCTTCTTCAGCCTTTTCTCAACGCTATCTCCATCGGATACAGCCTTTCTTTTAACTGGTTTCACCGTTGATTTTATAGACTTCACTCTTCTGACCGGGACCAATTGCTTGACCATCTTCGTTTTCTTCACTCTTTGTGTAACCCTAACTTTCTCTGGTCTTCTAACCTGAACCTGTATCACCTTGGGCTCTAATTCACGGACGTAGTTCGCCGGCACGAATCCATCGGTGCCATCTGCTTTCCGGACGCTCCACCAGTCAGGATTCGTCTTGTTTAATAAAAACATCACCTCACCCTTTACCATTTGCATACCCTGACCGCTGAATGGATACAAGCTCTTCACTTGGGGTACCAATCTGTCTTCAAGAATCGTTCGTGGTTCTAATCTTTCCACCACTTCGTCCACCCACTCGTCCTGAGGAACTAATCTAATCTCTTTGCCTGGAAAAAAAAAAAAAAAGAAAAAGACATTTTCCTTTTGAATTAATTCTTTTATAGGAAGAAGAATTAACGAGAACTTGAACTTACTCCATTCTTCTTGTTCCAATTCCGCAACGGGTTCTGGATCAGCGGACAACTCGAGAGTGGAAATCCCAGACTTAATAAGCTTCTCAGCCTGCATGTTCAGCGACTGCACGTCGCCTTTATAGGCGTTCAATTCCCCTTCTAAGTCCTTGTGTCTTTGTAAAAGCGCTTGAGCGCTGGGTTCGTCGACTCCGTAGTCTTCAGAAGCCACGAGAGTCATCTTCTCGTTCATCCAGGAATCTGCCTCGTTCGCGTCCGCGTAAAATTGAAAGGCCTCCGCTGCGTCGTCCAACTGTTTCTTTCTGAGGGCAGCCAACTCTTCCAAGACCTTCCAGTGTTCTTGCAACGAGTCAATGCGATTTTGAATTTCCAAAGACGAGGGATGATTGTCAGCTATGAGCTTCCTTCCGGCGTCACACAACTGTTCGGATTTGGGCCTCCGTACTTTCATCTCGTCCTGAAGAGCCTTGTGCTTCTGTTGCAACGAAATTACAGCACGCAAGTCCTTAGCTGATATCCCAGCTTTGCAAATGCGTTGTTTCTCAATCAACCAGGACTCCTCGTCTTCGTGATCTTGAAGGAAATGGAAGAAATTCCTGGCATCTTCTAAACGAGCTTTGCGCTCCTTACTGTACTCCACTAGGTCGTCGTAAGCTCGATTCAACATCTCCAGCTTTTGCTGCAACAGAGGTACCTCCTTGCTCTGAGGTTGAGCCAAATGCTGAGCCGCTTGTCTACCCAGCCTCCTCTGCGTTTCTCCAAGAGCAGTCACTTGCAATTCTTGCAAGCTGTGCTTCTGCAACAGGTCTTCGACTCCCAACAGATGCGGCCCTACGTCCGTACTTTGGAAATTCAGTTGCAGTTCTTGTATGGAGGCCAAGGTTGTGTCGATCTCTCGCATGAGGCTCATGAGAGAGCTTAAGGCAACTAAATTGGATTTATGATGATCTAGGAGAGCTAAGAGCTCCTTCCACCTTTGGAGAACCTCCTGTTCTCTTATTTGCACCCTCTCTAACCCGTGGTAATTTTCCCTTACTAATTCCTCCGACATGTTCGTCAAATCGTGAAACCGTTCCTCGCGAGCTAAAATATCCGCGCTAATCGCTTCGTGTTTCTTCACTGTGGCATCTACCTGGGCCAAATTGCTACCGTATCTAGGATCCGTCAACACTTGGATCATTTCCTTCAAGTAACCCTCCCTCAGAACACTCTTCCTTTCGAATTTATAGTTCAACTGTTCTAATCTTTCCTGCCTGAGAAGCTCGGTCCTAAGAGCGACTTCTCGACGATGCTCAGCCCGTTCCAGCTCTACCCAATTTCTTTCGATGTCGTGTATCAATTGACCCTCTTGAGGCGTAAAGGCAGGCTGATTCAACGATTTCAATTGGGTGTTTATGTGAAAGTACAGAGCCTCTATTTCTGACCGTTCTTTGTACTTCGGCGGTTTCTCCACCGTTCTGTATTGCTTGAATGCTAACAATTCTCTCTGAATACCCTCCAAAGAGTTGGGGAAGTTCCTGTTCTCTAGTACTCCTATCTTCATCTTGATCCATTCCAACAAGTCTGTCGTGAGTTTTTCGTAGTGAATCTTCATCTTGTCAGCGTCCATCATTTGCCCCACGATCTAAGGATAACGATATTGTAGTTTGAAAGTTCTTTGATAATCAAATTGATAGATAGGTGTGCAACGTGAAACCTGACTTACATTCGCGATTCTTTTACCGCTCTTGATCTCGTTCTTCATCCTGGCGAAGGTGTGGTAATAAGAAGCGACGTACGTGATGATGGATTTCTCGTCGGGCCTCGCTGTATCAACATCCTCCGCGTCCAACAATCGCGGGATTCCAAGTTCCGAGTTGGCCACGTCGAACGCATAATTAAGATTGTCGATATTTTTATTTTGCTGCAGCTCTGACCAATTGACCAGGTCTGGTCTGTGAGCATGGATAAGGGCATTGAAACCAAGACCACTTCTCCACGATACTGCAATCAATCACATTTTGTCACGTCAGATCGCGTTTGGGATAGACTTGAGCAAAGTACTCACCGGTGAAATCCTGGATGTTAACGCCAGGATAACCGTTAGTTTTCCTCTGACACCAGAGCAGCAGCGCATCTTTGGCTGACTTCTTCTCGCTGCTATCGTTCTCCTCGTCCACGTCGATCTCGATCTCCTGGATTTGGAATCTCAGGATAATGGTCCAGATCAGGCCAAGTATCAACCTTGGATTCCCGTCCACTATGTCCTCCGCTCCGATACTTTCCAAACGGACCTGCAAATATTGCGATACGTCAATTCATCTGTCGAGACGTCCAATTCTCTCTGTGATCAGGTGAACGTGAGCCATAAACGCAAAGCGTAATAACGCGCTCGTAGAATTTATGAGAAGGGATCGGTGGACTCCTGGCACGAATGATATTCGCATTCCATCGTGCACGTGTGTTGGTACGCGTGTGTGCGCGGAATGCACGCTGGCTATTGGCATCGCGCGCGTTGCGTAAACAGTGGGCCTCAATAGGCGCCTGTACGCGAACATCTTGCTATGATAAAACAGGCATGCACTCGCGCCGCGCCATGTGAAAAGCAACAACTAGCTAGACGGCCTTCGAAACATCGTATTATGATAATGATGTTTGTTGAAAACGAAGAAGCTTCAAATATATACGAGGAGGTGCACTGGGTCATCCGATTCTGACTGAGTATGAACTGTTGGAAAATGGACACATTTCTGGTTAAGTTGACAAAATGATCTTTCGTCGCGTTTCAGCTTTGGGTGACAGTTTTCTTTTGGAAGTTACAGGTAAGGAAATCGAGTGAAACATATATGTCGGTAAGACAAAAATGTGAAAGAACGTTTAATCCTCGCGCCGCCATTTTCGCAGACGCTGGAATGCATAACAATAATGACAGTGGAATAACCTCATAAATATTAATCATCTGCATTGGGATTGTTCTGTTCGTTTGAGATTAAAAATTTTATTAAGCGTATGTACAAATAATCACGTTGGATATATATATCATTTAACTGCTTGCGCTGGCAATTGATTACGGACCATAACGAGTGACCAAACCGTATACAATAATTTCGTCGCTTTCTTTTTGAACTCGTCGATACAATATCATTGGATTATTGAGATTAATATTAATATTAATATTAATTAATAAATTGGATTATTGAGAGGTAATAAACTTATTATTTGTTATATTTCAGTATACTTAAAACTGAGAAAATATTGCAATTTTCGGCCAAATATTTTTGACATGCCTGGCGAAAGGCGTTAAATCAAAGAAGACTATGGGAAGGTACAAAAATTTGCAGAATGAGCCAAATATTCAAATCTATTCATTGCATTCATAAAAATATGAGTCCGTGATCTACTATTGCAAAAAATAGACCAGGTAAACAATTTTTAATTAATCAAATCAACAGACAATAATCATAGATATTGCCACGAAAGAGGAAGTATCATTTTTATTGGGCCTCGATTACAAAAAGTGGGTAACTCATATATAATCGTGCAATCATGCTGATCCTTCAGAATGAAATTGTAGCGGTGTCCCGACATCGACTTATGGCTTCATTGACTTCTCCGGCACATTCGATCGAGCGTTATGATCGGGGCCCGAAGAAACCCTCGTGGGGGCCAGCAAACGGCTCCGCTACGCCTTATTATACTTAATCGCGGTGCGCGCCCGAAGCGCGACGTTCTCGCGATTGCTGGAATGTCGTCCGATCACTTGCTTGCCGGTCTATCAAGGCCGTTGGGAAATGAAAATCGTTCCTTTCTGACCGACTGATATCTTACGGTCTTGCGGAATCCAAAAGATTGCGAACGGGAAAAGGGTGGGTCGATGGGTAGGTAAATACCGGTTAATGCATCTTGCAGATATGAAAAACTGGTTCACCGAGACGTTACAATCCACAATAATATTAAATTGTACCCGCGTACCCAAATTGTGGCAGTAGTGTCGTTGAATTGGGTCGTTCATTTCTAGATCTATCAGCAATCTACACGTTAGTTTCATAACTGAACAAACAGTTATTATCTATTAAATATTAGAAAATTTAATACGCCATGTTCTTTAATATTTACGATTATTTTTACACAATAGTACGATCATTTTTTACACATTTCTTATTTTATTTTATTCTTAAAGGATAAAATATGGCACCTGGTATGGACGCAGGTTCCTAAACAACAAGATTGCAGAGGAGGTAAACGAGAACAGAAGAGACGATGCACTTCATAATCATTCTCATTTCCATACGGAAGTTATCTATTACCCTGAGCGTGAGCATCGAACCATTACGTTCCATTTAATTAACAATGTGGCGGGCAAGCGTCAATCTCGAAGCGCCTCGTGCAACCGATGTAAACCACGCGTTAAAATCAATCATCACTAGGCTCACCCGGTGAACAACGATTAGCCTGCGGGTGAGCAAACAAATGTTTCCACGATGCGCGTTACACGTCAGGGCAAATAGACTGCACCTTCCGTCATGTAATTCGTAGTCGTGGCGCGCGCCTCATATGTGTAACGATCGATGTGATCACTCGATAATAACAGATCCAAGAATATCCAGCAGAGTGGACGTTAGCCGCATCATCGTCCCGATTATCAATTTCACCATCTAATGTATCATTAGGGCATCATTGCTGCGAATGCTCTCCGGGATAAGTATTGATAAAAGAGCACTTGGACGATTTACCCATCATTTAGACACGCTTACAATTCTACCGCGTGAAGTGTAATTTTGCTCGTTTTTTTTTTTTTTTTTTTTTTTTTTTTTTAGATCAAAATTGAAGAAGAGAAAGACCAAATCCCAAGTTAAGTTTAAGTTCTTAAAAAGTCAAGATAACCTTGACTCTCTAATCTTTGTAGAAAAGAAGGAAAGGGAGAAACTAATCTAAAAGTTATTGGCGATTCATTTCTGGGCTTACTACCATTACAATAAATTTACCCGTGCTCGCGACACAGATCATCGAGAAGTACAGCCATTATCTTTTACAATTGCATCGATACAACGGATCAACCGTCGAATTTCCAAAGAAGCAGCCAAACTGCATACGATCACGTTATAAAGCGGCCAGAGTGTATCAACGCATGCCAACGTATGAATAATGAATGAGCCTCGGACTGCATAGAACGACTCTCTCTCTCTCTCTCTCTCTCTGGGAACACGGTACTGTTACATCCAACGAAAAGGTGGGGTTGTGCACAGTTAAAACTCGTGCAACGAGACGACCGGCCAATAAACAGGCGTAAAGGTGACGGCGTTAAATAACCGGTACTCGTTCTATCGGCCGATTGCTTTTTGTTGTAAGCCATGGCACGTCAGAGTACCACTCTGCCGACCAGCGAAACGGCTAATGTTCTCGTTCCTTTTTTCTTCTTCTTTTTTTTTTCATCTTGCCTTCTTCTTTCTGTTTTCATTCTTCTTCCCCTTCTTCTTCTTATTTCTTTCTCCTTGACTCTTTTACTCTTTGTCGAGCTCGATCGCGAGGGGACGTTGAAAATATTTTTTGACATATTTTTCGACTTTGTTGCCATAATGAGATCTTCCTATTTTAACTCGTGTAAAGAATCGGTTCTCTTGTCATTAGGGAATATATGAATGTTGAAAATTCGTCGAACGCCAATCTTGTGATCGTTAAACTTTCGCTCGGTTTGTACTTGAATTTTTCATTCAGCGTAGACAGTCGACAGAACGGTATTTAAAAGGATTTAAATGCCTTTGCACGTTCTAAAGATCGATATGCTCGCACGTATGTATTTAACATCTCCTATGAAATATCGAATCTTACACGGTGAACTAGTTCCCCGTCAACCAAGTAACGAGTACCGATCGATTAATTCCAAGGATCCTATCCAGCAACTTTTACGCACCATTTTTTCTTGTTGGACAGGTTGCCTCTGGTTATAAGTCCTTAAATGCATCCGTGCGTCTCATAACGTTCGTCCGATTATCTGTTCATTCATTTCGCTTAATTGCGAGCACCGTTATCAGCCTGCCTCTACGTCCGAGGCGAACGCTTTATCTGCGGTCGTTTCATAAAAAGGACAGGTTTACTCGTACGCAGATCACGTTGCAGATAACGTGCGAGTAAATTCGTATGTGGGTAACTGTGGCTCGGGAAGGCGGGTGAATTGTTATTAAAAAGATCCGAGATAAAGCGAAAATAACAAAATAATTGTGCAAAGACTATGGAGAAAATTTAAAAAAAGAAACGAAATTGATTTTAAGAAACTGCTCGAGATAAAGGGATTGTTTTGATTTTTAGATTAACCGCCAGGATGGAGCTAGTGAACTTTAGATCAATCATTAGAAAGGAGTTGCCTGGATATCTGGAACTGTCAATTCCAAACTCTGGAGATCTAACAAATCTCGCTTCATTTCCTCCGATGGGTAGTATAGAGTGAATTAAGAGACCAATAAGAAATCAATATCACCGGGAGTATCGTGGTAAACAACGGGGTCTGTGGACTGTGCGAAGCCAATGGAATGGTACTAGACGTTCTTAATGCATTTAACGTGGAATGCAACTCTTACGTTCACTGGATCGACCGGCGCGGCTCGTTTCGTCCGACGTTAACCGAGCTACAATGCGAGCCGCTACAATATAAGCCTTTGAGCGGCGCAAAAATGTGAGCGGTAACCGTGGGCGATACGATCGTCATTTAATAATTTACGGCTGGGTGGTCTACTTACGGATCAAGATGAAAATCCATCATCGCTTTTGCAAAAAAAAAAAAAAAAAAAAAAAGATAGCTCACGCTCTCGAAGAGAACAGCGTATCGATCTCGGTTAAGGTAGCGAGGATCATTGGTCAGCGATGAAGAAACGAATTGCAACGCTCATTGTACACGCTTGTTCGCAAGTTGATTTTGATAGGAGCGATCGCAACACGCTTTGAAAGTTGCTCGAAGTACACATCTGGCTTGATCAAGTTTTGACCAAGGAGGGATGCGTGATTTACGAGCTTGTGATTATGAGGAATTGCTAATGGAACTGTCTGCAAACTCCTTCTTGTTACAAAAACAGATTGGTCGTAATGTGAATTTAATGAATCGCGACGTGATAAAAAAATTTGGGCACAACCTGTATCAAACTGGACAGCGATTGTAATCTAGTGATGCTCGTCTGTGATCATAATCTACACAATCTGACAGGAGTTACCATTCACTCCAGAGACACTGAAATCACCTGAATCCCAAATTATTCCACTCTCGGTGTTGAGCGTTAACCACTAGCGCTGGCAACTGATTGCAGACCATAACGAGCGACCGAACCGTATACAATAATTCGTCGGTACGATATCACTGGATAGAAATTATTGACAAGTAATCAATTTATTTGTTTTGCCTGGGTTGTATTTAAATATACTTATATAAAAAAATTTATATAATTATACTATATTTATATAATTATAAATATCAAATGAACAATATATACGTGTCGTGGCAAGTCGGAAATATTTGGCCCAAAATTGCAGTATTCTCTCAGTTTTAAGCATATTTAAGTATAACCCAGGTATTTAAGTATAACCCAAGTATTGCAGTTTTGCAAAAATGACTCGGCAGATACGGTAAAAATAATGAAACGCATTAAAAATCGCGACGAAAGGAATGTTGAACGTTAATTATTAAATATTTCGTTACAGAGGACGCGAGAGGAAAATAGGAAAAGTGGTCCAGGAAGCCTAATCGCGACGACCGGGGCCCGGATTACGCGGAACACGTCCAGCGGTACAGGTTTAACGGTAAAGGCGGATAAACGGCTCATCTGCGGTGTTCGTACGATTCCTTAAACGATGACGAAACGTCGGGAATGTTTCGTGGTGCACCGCGTGCGCGCTGCACGGTCACGATCAGGAATGTCCTTTTGCGAGCTGACGTTCGCGTGCCTTCGATCCACATTCCGCAGTCCTGCCAAGAATGCGCATCGCCAGTTGTAAACGATGCCCGTAGAAAAACCGCTACACGGCCCGACTTAAACAAAAGAGCGAGAAAGAGAGAGAGAGGGGCCTGGTGGATGAAAATAATTACTAACGAATTCGAAATGCCCGATCATGACTGTTTTCACTCAGACGGCGCTAATTCAACAGAACTGATTTGATTTCACTTGGAATGAAGATGTGAAGTCGCGGGACAAAGACAGTAGATAGATAATTTATATACCTCCGCGGGAAATGATTGCGGATGAAATTTTCATAATTTTCTTTTTGTAGGAGAAATTATTTCCAAGAGCGCGCGTTTGATTTATAGTTTCATAAACTTGAGAAGAAGCGGGGAGAGAGGAATTGGAACGCGGAGTACCATGGAAAGTATATTTTACATTTATGTGCTCAGAGACTACTGCAAGCGACTAATCATCGCGAGGGCATCAGGTCCCACATTAATAGAGATATTTGGATTCTGTTCGATAAAGTAAAGCCTCGGTAAACGAGCGTATCTTCCTTATCAATTTTAACGGCACGCTGTCCGCCATAATGCTCGAACACGCAGTAAGACCAGCATCGTTCTCGTATCGCAGCATCGAAACACGGACTTTATTACGAGACACGCACCGTGAATACGAGAGATCCGCGACTTCTCCGAGTCGTCGATCCATTAAAACGTAAAAACTTATCTCGTCGAGGAACACGATCAACTTACTGTCCATTTTTTCATGATGACGAGAACGTCTAAAAAATGTTACAAGTGTACTTTCATGCAAATGAAAGAAGCTTGCAAGTGACTTAATTTTGCATAAACTTAAGAATCGAAATTATCACTTTTTTTAAGTACATAGGATGCAAGTTTGATTGCCAATATTTTAAACAACTTAGTCATGAGGATAAAAGTTATTAAGAATCAATTGTCACAATTAGTTGATTTAACAAGTGCTCTTTTTATTCTCTGCACGCTTCAGTTTAAGCAAAAAAAAAAAAAAATAACAAGCCACACAAGCGGTAACAATGCTGCGACGTTTTAATCAGAGATACCTTGTACGGTTATAGGGCACAAGGTTGATCGAAAAGACCCCGACAATATCCAAAGGGATATTCATCGCTACGAAACGAATAAATCAGCTTTTGTAATGACGAACCGACCGAGAAACGTTGTTGTTCCAGTCTCTTGCCAGCGACCACATTCCGCAATATTTCGTTCCTGGCCAATGGCAATGCAACGAGAACTGCAGATGACACTGCCATAACAAAGTTTCAAGACGATGTTTCTCCCTCGAGAAGAATTCGATACCTCATTCGCGCTAACCACAGGTCCCTGAATTATTATTAAATCAATCCTTAATTCCATCTTTCGGTAAATCGTGCACACGTATGTACACATGTATGCAAAATAAAATTGTTAAATTAAATCGAAGCAATAATTTACAACGCCGCTTCAAGTTGCCTCGATTTAAAATTTAATTAAAATTTATTATCACGCCGGAAGGCTGTTCAGGAGAAGAGTTAGAATTGCCTCGGCGTTTTAGACATAATTCCGTTGCAACGGGATATGAAACAGTATCGAACAGCTGGTCAAGGATAACCGAACGAAGCGAAGATCGGTAGAGAGGTGGTGATATCTATTAAGTTAGAAGGAGACTCGGGTCGCCCTCTTTTGATTTTACGATCGTTTCACGACATTGATGGCCCGCTGAACGTTTTTACGAGGCAACTATTCCGGCAGAATCGTAAATCAGGAGTGTACAGTCTGTCTCGTTTCAGAATCGAGATAGCCGACACGATGATTTTTGTACAACTAAACGAACGAAATAAGATTAGTGAAACAGTGGGAAACATTCTTCTAAAACCTCAAGTGAGTTTGACACATAATTTTCTCAAAACATAAAGAATTTTGACTAAATCCAATTCCAATGATGCTCGAAAAACAACATTTCTACACAACCGGTTTTTAATTTTATACTTTATATCGATATGTATTTCTGTATCACCCTGTACATGTAGCCACACGCATGACCGGAATTTTGAAGCGTTCTGTACTGCTTTCTCTGACGAGTGCTAAAAAGAGAAACCTGGGAAATGCATACGAGGTCACTGGCATAAAATCTGTGGTTAACTTAAAAACCAAATATTTATGAACATTTTGTCGGTCATTGATATCGATTGTTCAGGCGCACGGAAGAGCTGCAAGACACCCTCAATTCATGCAATTATTCGTAATAATGTAACGACTTAATTTTTAATAATAATTAAACACGTTACACTTGTGCAAATTAATTTAATTTCAATATTTCAGAACTGTGGTGTTGTTCACCGGATGTAGAACAGAGTACAGGAAGAGGACGAGTTCTGAGAATAATTGTTTCACCGCAAAATCGACCGTGACTCACGACGACATTAAGTCACGCATCCTACGTAAATCCTGCGATTCATTATACAACTGACACGGTGATATCATCAATTTTCCCTTAGAAAAAAAAAAAAACACCGTTGCAAAGTCAGTCATAAATCAATATTTGATTTTGTAATCTTGCATCACTGCCAAAAATAAATGTCGCAGATATTCACACCAGATTAGTAACAGGAAAATAAGGAATATTAAATATATGTAAGTCATCATACAAATTACAAATCATTAATATTATTCTGGAGTTATATATGAAATAATTTTATATATAAAATTGTAAAAGGGAAGATCTCATAAGCTGTAATTTGTCATTTCGTTGATACCAGTTGCTAGATTATTGTAAAGTTGTATAAGAAATAATTTCATGTATAACTTTATATATTATATAAAATTGTAAAGGAAAGATCTCATAAACTGTAACTTGTCATTTCATTGATAGATTATTGTAAAGTTATATAAGAAATAATTTCATGTATAACTTTATATATAAAATTGTAAAAGGGAAGATCTCATAAACTGTAATTTGTCATTTCACTGATACCAGTTGCTAGATTATTGTAAAGTTATATAAGAAACAATTTCATGTATAACTTTATATATAAAATTGTAAAAGGAAAGTCTGAAAATCCCCCAACTGTAACTTGTCACTCTACTAATGTCAGTTGATGGATTATTGCGCAACCAGATCCAGAAAATCAAACAAATTGATACTTTTGAAAAGACCTAATATTTTAATTCGCGTAGAATTCCTCGCAACTCTTTCCCTGATCTTTGCACTATATGTCGCCGTTCCAATTACTCCCTCCCGCGACATAAAATCGCAACACTGACTGATAACGACAGATCGTTCCAATTAATTGTTTACCGGATTCTTGCTTTATCGTGGTTTCGAAACGAAGGTTATCACACGGTTGTTTGAATCTGGTTATTTTCTTTGAATATATATATATGTAACCTGCGACACCAGTCACTCCAATTCCCGGCCCCTTTCACGATAATTGCTAAGAAATGCAAGTCACACGTTCCCCCGACTGCACTTTCACCGAAACTTTTTGCTCAGCCCTTTCAACGAGCAGACTTTTAATCGTCCATACGTGGAAATGCATGAAGACGAATTCTTTCATTCATCGGTTTTTTGCTGGTCGAGTGAGGTAACACTCGATTTCTTTCACTGCAAGTGACGTAGAATTACGAATATAGACAAATACAAAATTACTCCAAATCAAAATCAATAAAATAACTAACGATAAAAGTAAATTTGCACGATGAAAGTAAGAAGACTGAAAGTCAAAGGCTCAGAAAGTTTAAAGATCTTTCTACTTTTTCATTACACTACATATTATTACTACTATAAATTAAGAATTACTACTATAAAATAACAATTAATAATTATTATATATAAAACTGTAATAATCATTATAAGTTAATAATTATCATTATAGTTCATATGTCATGTTATCAATATATCATATTATAAGTTAATAATCATTATATATAAAACTGTAATAATTATCACAAGTTAATAATTATCATGTATGAAACTGTAATAATTATTATCATATATAAAACTGTAATAATTATTATAAGTTAATAATTATCATATATGAAACTGTAATAATTATTATAAGTTAATAATTATCATTATAGTTCATATGTCATGTTATCAATATATCATATTACAAGTTAATTATTATTATATATAAAACTGTAATAATTATCACAAGTTAATAATTATCATATATGAAACTGTAATAATTATTATAAGTTAATAATTATCATTATAGTTCATATGTCATGTTATCAATATATCATATTACAAGTTAATTATTATTATATATAAAACTGTAATAATTATCACAAGTTAATAATTATCATATATGAAACTGTAATAATTATTATAAGTTAATAATTATCATTATAGTTCATATGTCATGTTATCAATATATCATATTACAAGTTAATTATTATTATATATAAAACTGTAATAATTATCACAAGTTAATAATTATCATATACGAAACTGTAATAATTATTATCATATATAAAACTGTAAATAATTATTACTCCTATAAAATAAGAAAAAGGTGGGATACGAAGGATACGCAGGAAGAGTAACTTGATTTTCTGGCAAACTGAGCATCTTGAATTTCGCGGGTTCCAAGTTTCCAAGTCTCCAAGTATCTCAGGAGACATCTGACTCGAGATACTTTGTTAATCCCTGTTAATCTCAGATTCCACTTCCCGATGCCTGATTAAAACGTTGTCTCGTCATCGACGCAATTGCAAATGAAAACGTCGCCAGGCTCGTCGCGAGGGAAAAGTATCAAGAGAGAAGAAGTGTCACCGAGTTGTACGCACGCCTAGAGGCGTCGGTCCAAGGTGTGGACAGGCTCGTAAAAGCCGTTCTTCGTTGCGGAACCAGCGTCTAACGTGAAATGATCGGCACACGAGCAACGTATGTGCCCCGTCTGGTTTCATTTCACATCTGCGGGGCTCACGGTCTAGCAAGTTTCGCCTCGGTCGCTGACCCTTCCTTCCCTCTTTCTCTCCCTCTGCCTCTCCGTTTCGCTCCTTTGATCGTACCTCCGGTTTCTGTCCCTCTTCCAGAGATCTCCCTTCCATCCCCCCCTTTCTCCTCTGGCCGCTCTTTGATTGTACCCTTCGATTTCGATCCCTTTCGTTTATCCGTCCTCGCACGGTCCTTCGATCCTCCGACCAGTTCCAGCGATCCAACGTCTCAAAAATATCTCTAACATCGTCCGGGAATGTGCAAAAATATTCCGCTAATCCGAAACGAAAGATATTTATATATATTTGTATATTTCAATATTTATATTTATATATTTCAATATTTATATTTGTATATTTCAATATTTATTTATATATATTTGTATATTTCAATATTTATTTATATATACTTGTATATTTCAATATTTATTTATATATACTTGTATATTTCAATATTTATTTATATATATTTGTATATTTCAATATTTATTTATATATATTTGTATATATATTTGTATATTTCAATATTTATTTATATATATTTGTATATTATTATTTATATATATTAATATATATATTTGTATATTATTATTTATATATATTTCAATATTTTGATAGTCAGTAACTCGATATTTCAGTACTCTGGCAGTGTCTTGGCTCGAATATCCAAAGCTTTAACGTCATTGACGCTCCGACAAACCAATCCAATTTTCCACTGTAAATTCTAAGTGCAAATACATATGTATATAATTATACAATTTGCACGATTACACGCTTGCACAACTCGAACGTTTATTCAAAAGCGTTGCGGCTCGTCCGGCTCGTAGAATCCAATTAATCTCTCCGTCTTTAATTCCAAGTGTCGTTTATACTCTTCAGGTAGCATCCCCTATTCCTTTTGGGAATTTGACGAGTCTTAGAATGTTCGAGGTTTCCTTGTGATATGAATTTTATTGTACTTTCTTAAAATGAATTAACCTTTGATAAATAGTTTAATTAAATTAACTCCCAACTCCCCTAATAAATACTTAAATAAAATCCACATGAATTTTATTGTACCGTCGACTTTCTTAACATAAAATTAACCCCTGATAAGTAATTGAATTAAATTAACTCCCAACTCCCGTAATAAATACTTGAATAAAATTCATATGAATTTTATTGTACCGTCGACTTTCTTAACATAAAATTAACCCCTAATAAGTAATTGAATTAAATTAACTCCCAACTCCAATAAATAATAAAAAAATATATTAAGTGATTTACGATATATCTTTCAATAATAATTTTCAGACGAAAATTACTAATAAGCCCCAGAATTGCTTCTTCTCCATAAACCTACGTTAGTCCTTGCTTCTCCTTGAGACTGGACACTTAAGAAATATAACCCTCGTGCACGTGGCTGTTTTAAGTTGCTGAGGGGGCTATGGTTTCTGAGAATGGCCCGAGGATACCTCCCTAATTACTGTCGGCTCGGATTCTTTCGGTCATGGGAACAGCCCCTAGCCGGTCCGTGTTTTCAGACGCAGTTATCTTGTCAGAACTTTGGAAACATAGTTAGAAATCGCTCCGCGAGAATTATTACAACCTTTTGTCGTAATTTGCATTTTTATTATATATATTATACATATTATATTATTACATATTATTATTATTATATTATTATATATTATTATATATTATATTACATATTATTATTAGTATATTATTATATATTATATTATATATTATTATTATTATATACAATTTTGATACTTAAATAAAATCCATATGAATTTTACCGCCGACTTTCTTAACGTAAATTAACCCCCGATAAGTAATTGAATTAAATTAACTCCCAACTCCCCTAATAAATAGTTAAATAAAATCGTGGATTTTATTTAACTATCAAAATTCCTTTAATCTTTAATCGCGTCTTCCTTTCTAAATTTATTTCTACATCTTTTGATTTTCTTTTTCCCTTTTCTTTCGTTCCAAATATATTTAAATTTTTTTCTCTGCAAACGATTGAAATTTCAGAGTTTACTCTCGGCACTACGTACACAGAGAATTTTTTAAAAAGTTCTATGAATTCCACTCGTTCGAAACAAGAGTGAAATATTAGAATACAGAAAAAAAATTCGAAGACGTAGACGACGTTATTGTAAAGAAACGCGTCGATCATGTTTAAAAAAGCACAGTCGTGCTGCGACGTGTTTCGTAAATGAACAGCGACAAACAATCTTTGCGAATTCCGAAGGAGATTTCAGCGAAGATTTTGTCATGCAAATTAAATGTCATGCTAACTGTGGAACAAATACTTGCAGCTAAATAAACGATTGTTTTGCAATTCCAAATTGTTCTGTCATTTTATTGTTCGCCGATGTTTTCGCAAAGGATGGAAAATTTTCAGGAAACAGTGTTGAAAAGACTGGGGAATAATCGAATTTAATTGCAAGGCATTTCGATATGCAGCAACAGAATTGTAGGATTTAAATTGAAAGCTCCGTCGGCGGCGTTGATTATGAGCAGGTACATAAATTTAATACACGGCCTGAGATCACGTCCGCATATTTTACACTTTTTATACGCGATTAGCAAGATGCTTTACGTAACGGCGCTGTCGCGGAATCGCGGCAACACGACCGAACGGTAATAAGCACGCGCGAAACGTGTCCTTTCCACGAATAACTTTCCATCCGCGATTACTCGCTCGATCGATTCGTCATTTAGTAATAAGGCGAAACGAAATCGTTCGAAATTTTTCCACTTTTTTCTTTTTTGTAACAGTTTTCTTTTTTTTTTTTTTTTTTGTAAAGAATTTTGTTGCAAAATTGTTT